TAAACACCCTAGTAAAAGGTACATTTACAAGTTGAGAAAACAAAGATAAAACTAACACGCCTTGCCTGGCTGTTTACTTACAAGTTTGAAATATGAGAGACTTGTTCAGAAAGATTTGGAGAGTGTGGATTGCTGTCTGGTCCCTCTCAGTCCCAAGAGCGAACAACCACCAAAACAAAGAGCACAAACAAAAGCCTTCTCCCCACCAAGATTTGAAAATATCTTGTCCCCTTATTGGTCCTTTGGGTCAGGTGTCAGCCAGGTTACCTGAGCTTCTTAACCCTTTACAGGTAAAAGAATTTTGGAGTCTCTGGCCAGGAGGGATTTTATAGTATTGTACACAGGAGGGCTGTTACCCTTCCCTCTATAGTTATGACAGGCGCTATTAATGTTTATATAGTGCTTTGAGGAACACATTATAACAGCTGTGTATGATTGTCTAGTTTTATTGTTTGGGGGCGAGTTGGGCTCTATTTATTTATATTTATTTATATAATATATATAATTTTCCTAAACCTGATGTAAGTAATACTGGGCCACTGCATTTTGGCATATTGCCAATTTTGATTTATTGCTCTTAAGGCTGAGTTCTTAAATACACTGAAAGACTCTAGGGCTACCCTCCGCTCGTTGGGGCATGAATGTATGGGCCAGAAACAGAAGTTACACCACCTATCGTTGACCCAAGGTGCTGGTCTTCTCAATTCTATCACCAGAGACCTTATGAGCCTCAATGAAAATGTCCCAAAATCCAAATATCTTGTTTCCTTGTCCTCCATCACTGGCTTCCTTTTTGCAGGCCCAGCCTCAGGCCAACAGGTATTTTTGATGTGAGCTGAAGAGCCAACAACCACAGAATCGAACACCTCATGACCCCTCCATTCCCTTTGGGTGTCACTTAGTACTCTCTTACCATGGGGGGAGGGATAGCTCAGTGGTTTGAGCATTGGCCTGCTAAACCCAGGGTTGTGAGTTCAATCCTTGAAGGGGCCATTTAGGGATCTGAAGCAAAAATCTGTCTGGGGATTGGTCCTGCTTTTAGCAGCGGGTTGGACTAGATGACCTCCTGGGGTCCCTTCCAACCCTGGTATGCTATGATTCTATGCTTGGAGTGCAATAACAATGGACAAATCGGTGCTGAATGTCATCTGCCATGGCTATACCATTGTGTTTGTCATGCTTCCTCCTCCAAAAGCCCCTTCCCCATCCCTCTTCAGGAATCACTCTCATGACAGTATCCTCTTCCCAGAGGTGAACTCCTAATTGCATCAGGGAGCAATAGAGCAGAAACAGGGTTCTACTCAACTTGCTTCCTGATTCCTTAGGAAAAAAGAGGTTGGAAACCAATCCTCGACCTCAGTCAGTTTAGTCACTTCATCTGCAAAATCAAGTTTCATGTGGTCACATTGACAGAAATCATTCCCTCTTTAGGAAAAGGCATGTGGCTCACAGCTCTCAATATGAAGGACAGTTACTTCCATGCCAACATTCATCCTGCCCACAAACATTTTTTCAGATTCACGGTGGGCACCGGCCATTTCCAATACAGTACTTCCTTTTGGAATAGCTACTGCTCCCAGAGTCTTTACCAAAGTATTTTCTATAGTGAGAACTCGCATCAGGTGTTCTGATCGTCTTGTTTTTTCCATACCTCGACAACTGGTTCCTGGCAGCCAGATCCCACCAGGAAATCCTCGCATCACCCTCCATGTTACTCAACTCCTTGCTTCACTGGGAATCAATGTCAACATCAAGAAATCAATCCTCAGCCCCCACAGTCGCTAGATTTCATAGGGGCTACCATAAACTCTATCACATCATGGGAATACCTGCCCATAGACACATGTCAGGCAATGAACACTACTTCTCACATCATGAATGACCCACATGTATTGGTCAAGATGTGCCTGCCTCTTCTGGGCCACATGGTTTCATGCACCTACATGACCCCTTTCACGAGACTTCATCTTCACTGCCTCCATACGTGGCTCCATTCTGCGTACTTGCAAAGCTATCATTCTCTGGACTTCAGGCTGAAAGTTCCGGCCAAGATACTATCATCCCTACTACTGTGGACAGACCCCCATCATGTATGTCTGAGGTCCCTTTCTTCCCTCCTCTCCAAGCAAAATTATCATCACCAACGTGTCTCTAATAGGCGGGGGAGACCATATGGATAACTGCTTTGCACAAGGCTCCTGGACCTCTTGTGAGTCCAGGATGCATATCAACATCTTGGAACTTTGAGCAGTGCAAAAGATGTGTGAATCCTTTCTCCCACTTCTATATCAACAAACAAGGGGGAGCGAGATCCCCCGCTCTCCACACAGAAGTGGTCAAGCTCTGGAACTGATGCATCAAATTACACTATCTGCAGCTTACCTTCCAGGAACACAGAATGTGCTTGCAGACTCACTCAGCAGGCACTTTGTGAATGACCAGGAATGGGAGCTTCAAAATACAGTGCTATGCAACATCTTCAAACAATGGGGGACCCCAACCAGGGACCTATTCGTTTCTCAGATGCATCAAATGCACCAAATACCTGCTCCAAAGGACGCATCAGCTGTCGCTCCCAGTGCGATGCTTTCCTTCTCTTGCGGTCAAACCAAATCAACTACGCATTTCCTCTACTGCCGTTCCTACCTTGAGTTCTCCTCAAATCCATCGAGACAGGACAATGGTCAGCCTTATCGCCACCTTCTGGCCCAGGCAGTTCTGGTTCCCCAATCTCCTCCGCACGTCCTCTGATTCCCATCCTGAACTTCTCCGATCTCCTCACCCAACACAGTGGCAGAATCAAGCACCCCAATCCACATGCACTCCATCTCAGGGCATGGTATTTGGATAGGCATCTACTCTAGAATCAGTATGCTCCTCATCTGTACAAGACATTCTCTCTAACAGTAGGAAGGAGTCCACTAGACAATGCTACCGAGCTAAGTGGAGGCGCTTTTCCTCTTGGGCCTAACTTAAAGGCATTCCACCAGAAGAGGCAGACATCCCCCAATCTTGGACTGCATTCTATCCCTGAAGTCATTGGGTCTCACCCTCAGCACTTTGATGGCCCACTCGGCTGCGATTAGCACATTCCATCCATTGGTAGAGGGCTGCTCTGTTTTTACACACCTGTTAACTGCTAGATTTCAGAAAGACCTCCTCAGAACCTTCCCTCCCTGCCAAATGATTGCACCTCACTGGGTTTCGAATTTGATACTCAGCTTTAATGAGTCACTGGTGTCCTCCTCTTTGTCTCTCCTTTCCATGAAAGTTGCCTTCCTGGGGGCGGTCACTTCAGCAAGGAGAGTCTGAACTCAGTGCTATAATGGTTGACCCATCATTCCCAGTATTGAAGAAAGTTTCTTTACGTCTACGCCCTAAATTTCTACCAAAGGTAGTATCCCACTTTCACATTAACCAAGCTATTCATTTACCTGTTTTCTTTCTGAAACCACATGCCTTCATAGATGAATGTAGACTCCATTCCCTCAATGTCAGGTGTGTGCTGACCTTCTACCTATGGAGAACAAAACTTATCAGAAAGTCCCGTATACTATTCAGTACAAAAGCTGAGAGACTCCGAGGACGGGCCATGTTCATACAGAGAATCTCCAAGTGGATTTCTGATTGTATCAAACCCTGGTGCCATCTGATGGGCCTGCCTCCTGCTGCAGGGATATGCATTCACTCCACTAAAACTCAAGCGGCAACTGTGGCCTCCCTCCAAGACTTGCCTCTAATAGACCTATGTAGTGCAGCCACAGGGAGTTCAGTGCAGACCTTTGTGACACATTATGCACTGGTGCAAGACTCAGCAGCAGATACTTAATTTGGCCTGGTGGTCCTTCGCATGACCCTTCCATTGTCATCCTTGCACCCTCCACCAACTTAGTTACTGCTTGTCAATCACCCTCCATGGAATACAGTAGGGACCATCACTCGAAAAAAAGGAGGAGATTACTCAACTAGAGGCTCTTTAAGGTGTATATGGTCCCCCTGCAGCAGAGGGGAAGAGGGTGGGGTCTCTCAGATTTATGTTGGAGAAGGAACTGGAATCAAAGTTGGTCCATCCTGCTCTTTATCACCTCGGATGGAAGCATGAGGCGAGTCAGGGAGCATGTTCAGCCCAACGGACACTACTTTCAAATTCTCTAACTCCAAGTGCAGGATGCACATGCGTAAACCTCAGTGGAATACATCTTGAAGAACCTCCAGTTACAGGTAAGTAACCTCCTCTTCTATGTGATGGTCTACAAAATATATGGACTTAACTAAGGTTTCTATCAATAGTTCAAAGTAGTTCAAATAGCTGACTAAATTTAGTTGCTTGTCATAGATCCTCGCAAAACCTTGGTTAAGTTGCAGTAAATGTGTGTCTTTTACACATGCAATCTGTTCCAAGAGCTTTCCTTAAAGCCATGGAATGGTTTCATTTAGTGGTTGTAGTAAGTTCGGAAGAGTACAGCATAGTAATATAGATTTTTAAAAGACTGTACAAAGACAGATGAGAACTGCTTCCTTGTATATAGGAATCCATTTTAAATGTTGTCATTTCCCAGTGGATACTATCTACCTTCTAACTCAGCATAGAGGAAAAACTGTAGTAAATGACTTTTTTTAAAATGGTGACCATTGTATTAGAGCAGTGGTGCCCAAACTTTTCCTCTTTTTTCCCCCCCCCTACCAATAATGCAATGTGTCCCCCCCAGCCGGTGGCTGGGAATGGGGGCCAAGAGCAGGGGTGGGTGGCACTCCCTTCCCGCCCCTGCGTGGGGGTTGGTCAAGGCCGTGCCGTGCCCCGCCCCGGATGTTCCCACCACAGTTTGGGGACCACTATACTAGAGGAAGAATGGTCGTTTGTTTGGGACACTAACCTGGGACTTGAGAAACCCTAGTTCAGTTCCCCACTCTGTCACAGACTTCCTGTGTGACCTTAGACAAATAACTTGGAGATTCTCTACTTCAGTTTGTCATTTGTATAGGGAATTAATAGCACTTCCCTACCTCACAGTGGTTTTATGAAGATAAATACATTAAGATTGTGACCCTCCAATACTACAGTAATGACATACCTCTGATAAATACTACATTCTGAAGGCAGATTAATGTAATGTTTTCCTTGTCCGTTTTGTGATGTAAAACTCTCCTTCCTATTGAATAAAATAGCAGCAAATTGGTCAGTCTCCATGCCTCAATTTCTCTATCTATAAAATGATACTGGCCACTGTTTGTAAAGTCCTTTGAGATCTATGGATGATTAGTGCTATATAAGAGCTAGATGGTATTTTTTACTTTTATTTATTTGATTGATAAATAAATATTACCATCTAGCTGGCTCCCAAGAACAATATAACATGTGTGCTAGCTTATTTCACAGCTTCTTGAGGCTTCTGAAAAACTTGCTTTTCCCTGAAGAGACAATCTGCGAAAACTCCAGTCTTGGAGCCTTCGTTCCTTAGTGTAGAGACCAGTGGAAAACCCTCAGCTACTAAGGAATATTGACCCTGGCAAAGTGTGGCATATGAAGGCCAGTGAGGAGTTTTGTTCATGCTCTATCCTATTTACTGCTGCCCTCTGGGCTCAAAAAATTCTTTAAGTGTTGAGAGTTCCAGAATCTCTGTAGGAATGACACTTTCAGAGAAACAAAATTACAGATAAATAAACTTTTTCCTCCCTCTGCAGAATTCCATTTTTCCATTGTGCCTTGTTGCAGATAACTTCTTCCTTTAATAGGTAACTTACAGCCTCAAAAGAAGGACCTTTTTTTTTAAATGTGGGAAGGCAATACAGATGCTATTTAAAAAAACAAAAAACCAAAAAGCATAGCATGTCTTGCATCCACAATATTTTTTCTTATGGTCTCCCTTCAGAACAAGAGTTATTTGCTTTCAATTTTCACTTAATGTTTTTTTCCTCCCTTAGGTGAGGAATTCTTTCAACAAGAAAGGTTTGGATAGCTTTGACATTTATAGACTCAATTGCAAAGATGTGCTAAATATTTGCAATGCTTTCTGATTGGCTGTGGTTTATGGTTAGAACACTTTTTCTGCATAGATGAGTTATTTCTCTAGTGTAGCTTTTGGGGATGCAGGGAACGGAGTGTTTAATTCTTAACAAAATTTACATTAGGAAATCTATGGCAGTTGGAAAAGTCCAGCTGTTTCTGTAAAACTACAAAACATGAACTTTTAAAAATACTTAGTTTCCAATATAGGAGCTGACATGTCGAGAAGAACTTCTAACTCTCCTCCTGTCTCTTCTACCATTGGTGTGGAAAATACCTGTCCAAGAAGAAAAAGCGATAGGTATGTTTTCATCATACTACACTATCAGAATCATAGCAAAAATTATGTATTGTAATAATGTGTGCTTGAAACTTTAAAAAAAAATTCCTTGATTCAAAACCATACATGAAATTCCTTGTTATCAGGCAATGAGTCTCTTACATTTCAAACTGGTGACCTTCCTTTTTTTGAGTTCTGTATACTTTCTACCAATAGAGGGAAGACTAAAGTATCTTACATAGAGTTGTCCCCACATTCCTCTATACTTTACGTCCTTTGTTTATCTAAGTCTTCTTGCCATATGTAGATTCACCATACTTATAAAGCAAGTCTGATAGTTTACTGTATGTGTAACTTACTACCCATCTTGAGCAGTTAAGCCCAGTTGAATTTTCAGCTTGACTGACTCAAAAACAAGCCTGCTTGTGGACATGTGATAAATTAGTGGCTTTGTCAGGACTAGTTTTAAAACAATGTATCACTTAAAGATTAATGTCTCAAACCTGTTCATGTACAGTGTATAAAATATTTGTCATTTCCCAGCTGCATCCCTAGCTAGCATTACTAGTGTGGTAAACTTCAAGAAACATTTCTCTCATTAGGAGCTATTGGGCTGCATTTCAGTGTAATTTTTTCTTTTTCTTTTCTTTGATAAGCTTTCATTCTTCCCAATTGGTCATTACCCTCTATTGCATGAAGTATACTTTTTTGGGGGCGGGTGGGGGGGGGGGATTGATTATAAGGGTCTTTCTCAAGCACCGGAATTGTGCCTTTTTATAAAAAATGAGGATCAGCGAGAACTACTTACCTGGTTTTAAACAATGATGCAGCTGCACAAGTCCTATGAATGGTTTAAACTCCATCATAGACCCAAGGACAGGCTTTTTTTGCTACCCTCTTATCTCATCCCCAGAGCTCCTAAGTAGGGGGTAAAAATCTCTGCAACTGGTCTACACCTGTTATACCATTGGTAGCACCATTGCAGCTTCATCATTGGTAAAAAATGAGTATGTAAGTTCCTTATGTAGAGACATCCTATATGTCTGTTTCTAGCTATTGGATATAGCTTGAGTCCAGGCATACAGGCTACTAAAAAATGCCTATTTCACCCCTTAATAATGATTCTCAAATCCTACTTAAATCCCTGAGCAGTCTTAAGTTTCATATCCGTGGTACAAGCAGAAAGCAAATAGGCTGTCGTTGGATGTTCTCCAGATTTTGTTAGCAATATACATAATATGCTTGAATGTCACTTTTGGCCTCGCTGTTGGGGGCATTCAGCGCATTAAGGGTGGCAGATATTTCCCCATTCCTCCCTCTCCTCCCCCCCACCCCCCCCAAAAAACCCCTTTGGCACATATTGGTAAAACTACTGGAATTAGGATCCTTTAAAGTCAACTTTAACAGATATAATATGTTGATTTTTTTATTCAGAATATTTTTTAGGAATTAACTTAAACTTCTTTCACTCCTACACAAATAAAGACGCTTAGTTCACCAAGTTCTGCATTGTTGTAAATACACACTTTTTAGTTTTTCCATTTCCAAGCATTTTTTGGAATCTTTGTTGAAGAGAACGGTGTACTATATTCTCTTAATAGGGTTGGGAGTCAGATAGCACTGAGTTCTCACATCAGCTCAGCCACTGATTTGCTGTGTTGCATTGGGCGAATTTCTTCTTATGTGTGCCTGATCCCTGTTTATTTGAGGATAAGCCTTATAATACCTCACATGAGTGTTGTGGGATTAGACAACTTTTGTACAATGCTCTGACCGGATATAGTGGTGTATGTTAAGTGCTTATTCTTTCATTAGGTTTTTATATGAACAAATTACTTTCTTGTAAAAGAAATCCTATTCAACTTGTTAGCGCAATAAAAGATAAGGGCTTCAAGTAGTTCTTTGTCAGATTTAATATTTTGGTTGTATTGTTCTGATATAGCCAGAGTCAAGCATGTCAGTGTGCTTCTTTAAAGTAGGGGATTTTTAACAGGTAAGAGGGGTTTCTAAACCACATTTTGCTAAATACAATTGTTTGTCTCAAAAACCTAGTCTGTTGATCTAGGCAAGGGAAATGAAGTTTCAAAGTCCAGATTTTGATTAATAATGGGAAGAAAGTGAAACTGGTGGGTCCCTGTTTTGAGAATAAGCAAATCAGATTGCTGAATCTGAATTGTAAATAGCCATTTTGTGATAACATTTTTTGTTTAATTATCCTGGAGGTGTTCAAAGAATGAATAAAAGCAAAGCATGTCCTATGGGAAACCTTCAGAGACACTAACCAAATATGTATCCCAAAGATATATATGTTCAAGTTATAAAGTGCTACAGTTGTATTTAATACAAGTTTGATCATGTTACTTTGAAGTGTAATGTATATGCTGATTTTTCTTTCAACAGATTTTTATCTACCCTTCACAGTTGACATATGCCTGACCAAAGAGACAAATTCAAGTTCTTTGAGATCTACACAGGAAAAAATAAGTTTAGAAGGAATAGTTTGTCCATCCTTTCAGACTCCTGTAAAATTAAATTCTTCATCTCGAAAAATTAGGCGTCAGCGCAAAATCACCCATCGGTATTCTGTGAGGGATGCAAGAAAATCTCAGTTATCCACTTCGGATTCAGAAGGCAATTCAGACGACAAGACTACCATAATGATGAAACACAGGCGGTCTCAAATCCTACAGCCTTTTGTAACACACCCACCTAGGGACGACTACCGTGCAAGTACAGGTGATCCCCCACTGGCAGAAGTAGTACGAAGTTTTAATCCAGATCCCATGAGTCTAGAAAATTCCATACAGATCATTCCAACACAAGAGTCAAAATCTGAGGTTTTAAATGAGTCAGCTGCAGCAGCAGTTGTCAGCAGCATGGACAATTCTCCATTTGACTTGTGCCATGTTTTGTTGTCATTGTTAGAAAAAGTATGTAAATTTGATATTACCTTGAATCACAATTCTGCACTTGCAGCCACTGTAGTGCCCACCTTAACAGAATTCTTATCAGGATTTGGAGACTGTTGCAATATGAGTAGTGATGCAGAAAGTGAAGTGGTTTCTGCAGGCTGGACAGAAGAACCTGTGGCTCTGGTTCAAAGGATGCTCTTTAGAACAGTGCTGCACCTTTTGTCCATAGATATTACCAGTGCTGAAACTATGCCTGACAACTTGAGAAAAAATCTAACAGACTTACTTAGAGCAGCTTTAAAAATTAGAACTTGTTTGGAAAAGCAGTCTGATCCTTTTGCTCCAAGATACAAGAAAACACTACAGGAGGTTCAGGATAACTTTGTGTTCTCCAGGTATCGCCACAGAGCCCTTCTTTTACCTGAGCTTCTAGAAGGGGTTTTGCAGATTCTGATCTGTTGTCTTCAGAGTGCAGCTTCCAATCCATTTTATTTTAGTCAAGCTGTGGATCTCGTCCATGAATTTATACAACACCAGGGATTTAAACTATTGGAAATGACAGTGCTTCAAATGGAATGGCTGGTCGCAAGGGATGAGGAAATAACTACCGAAGCCTCAGAACATCTAAAAGCCCTAATCAACAGCATTATGAAAATAATCAGCACTGTCAAAAAAGTGAAATCAGAACAGCTTCATCAGTCAATGTGTACAAGAAAGAGGCATAGACGATGTGAGTATTCTCACTTCATGCATCACCACAGAGATCTCTCGGGGCTTCCGGTTTCTGCTTTTAAAAACCAGGTTTCCAGAAACCCCTTTGAGGAGGTAGTACATGGAGAAGTTCATTATCCTGAACGCTGCTGTTGCATTGCTGTTTGTGCTCATCAGTGCTTCCACTTGCTGCAGCAAGTTTCTTTGAGCAGCACCTGTGCTCAGATTCTATCAGGTGTACATAATGTAGGAATATGCTGTTGTATGGACCCAAAGTCTGTGATTACTCCATTACTTCGAGCTTCCAAATTACCAGTGTTAAAAAACTTTCAACAGCACATATTGAGCATCCTTAACAAGTTTATATTGGATCAATTGGGAGGAGCTGAAGTTTCTCAAAAAATTATACAAGCAGCCTGCAATATTTGTACTATTGACTGTGACCAGCTTGCTGAGCTAGAAGATACCCTGCAAAGCAACTCGACTGATATTGGTCTCGCATCAAATTTTTCATGTCCCTCTTACAGGTTTCAAGGGATTTTGCCTAGTAGTGGATCTGAAGACATGTTGTTGAAGTGGGATGCTTTGGAGGCTTACCAGGACTTTGCTTTTGAAGAAGACAAACTACGCAGTGTACAGATAGCAAGCCACATTTGTCATTTAATGCAAAAGGGCAATGTGGTGGTTCAGTGGAAGTTATACAACTATATATATAACCCAGTGCTCCAGAGAGGGGTTGAGTTAGCACATCACTCTCAACAGCTCGGTATAACTGCAGCATGCAATCACGTATGCAGCTGTCATAGCCGATGTTTGCCCCAGGAGGTACTTCAAATTTATTTACAGACACTACCTGCATTATTTAAATCCAGGTTTGTTAATTTTGTATTTATTAATGGGAAAACTGTAGCTGAAAATTACAGAAATGTTTGTACATTAATCACTGATTAAAATGTAATGAATTTGTGGTTGGGTAGCAGCACACACTTGGAAATGAAGATGATGGGGACCATGTAAATAATTAGGATTCAGACCTTTATTATCTGACTTCTTCAAATAGGTTCATAAACCCCAGAAGGTCTCAGATCTGGGATGATGGTGTCTACGCTATAAAATGTGTAAAACCTTTATACAGAATGCGATATACAAATCTATTCTGCACTTCTTATTCTTCAAGCAAAAGTTAGTTGGGCATGTTGAATAGGTTCATGTGCCATTTTTGTGAAGGAATTAGACTGCATAGAATTACGTCTAACTTCTGCCATTGCAACTGTATTCATAGAATTATTAGTACATCCATAATTCTAACAAACTATATTTGAGGCTTGCGGTAGAATTGCTTATAATTCCAAAATGACAAGGAACTGCTTCCTTGTTGCTTCACTTCTTTGTTTGTTTGTATAGAAAGCCTTCACCCTGTTTAACTATTCAAAAAAAAAAAATCACAGCACTTGCAAAACACAAAGTATAAAGGGAAGATTCTACAGAGAGAATTTTACCTTTAAAAAAGTATGGTATGTGCTAAAAGTACAAACAAGGGTATATTCTTCCCTTCCTGCAAGGGACTGTGGTCTATGTGGCCCAATTGCAACCCTGAAAATTTCAAGTGAATTCAATCTATCATGTGAAGTGACTCTTATAAAGACAGACTGCTCTGGATGTATAATAGAACCAAACTTATAACATGTCGAGAAAATGGATAGTGGCAAAATCTAGCTATTCTGGTTAGTATAGAAATGCAAACGCCTGTTAGAAAACAAAATCTTTATGAAAATTGAAAGATTGAGAAGGGAAAAGTGAAGACTAGAGTCCATAAGTTATCTAAGACAACCCATGTATGGCTCGGTAAAAAACGGGCAGTGGAAATAACCTGAGTATTCAAGTTAGCAGTGTGACTTTTGGAACACATTGCTCAATTGCAGTAAAGGGCATAGGTTTCATCAAATGATTACTATAATCAAAAAGACAAATTATTGTGCAGGTTAAAATGAGAACAGCTGGCGTGCTGCATCCATTTTTGGGCACTTCACCTTTGTAAGGATGTACATATTTTGGAAATGGTTTAGATAAATGAGATTATAAATGTCTTGAACTCTATAGCCTACTTCCACAACTAAATATTCTTGGTTCAGGGACGGGGAGAGGGGAAGAAGCTATAGGTTTGATGTTACAGAAATATATAAATACCTAAAAGGGTTACAGCGACTTTGGGTTAGGATTTGTATGAACTAATAACTTTTATTGTGCGGGTGAATAGATACTCCTAGAAATTAAAATAAGTAGAGTTTGGGTTAATACATGAAAGGGTGCTTTTTTCTCAGTGTGTAATCAGTAATATCTTGTGTACACTATGACATTATTATTTTAAAACATCTGACTCAAAAACCTGCTTGTAAAATATTTCAGATAAAATGAAAAGTGCATTTGTTTGTGGACCTGCAACATATTCAAACAAATATTTTTGCTAACTATAGTTACATAATGTTCCAAAATTGTTATATTCAAAGGGAATTTGTACTTTCCAGTGAGTAACAGAAGTAAGAGGGACAACGACCTATTTCAAAATTGTTCGTCATTTAACATGTTCAATAATTCTAAATGATTATTTCTTTTTTTTAAAAAGAGCATCAGAGGCTCAGGCACAAGTATAGCATAAAAGCCGGTGCCAAACCTTCTGGAGCAAACTTAACTGTAGAGGTTAATTAAAACACTCTTGTGGCCCTAAACAGCATGTCCTTCCAATCCACATGAAGTGAATTATAGTAGTCTGCCATTATGCATTCCGTATTTGAGAAGCAAGATTGTGTGGCTTCTCTCCCACTATTGAATGGATTATCCTTATTCAGGACTCTAGAGTAATGCAAAAGATGTCCTCCATAGATTCTTGCCAATGAGCCCCAATAGAAACGTAAATGGAAAAGTGTTGGGGTTAAGATAAACTTTGACCCCAATCTAATTTTATGTATAACCCTGGTATGTAATACCTGGGTATACATTTTACTGTAAAGATAACTTCCTTCTTGAATCCTAGTAAAGTGTGTTCTATTAGTGTCTCTGGGACAAAGAATCTAAAAAGCTCTTTTTATGCCCAGCTTATATAATAGTGAAGTTTCTGTGTGCTTTCTCCCATAGGATAATACAAAATCTGTTCTTAAATTGTAATGGCGTGAATCAAATGACAGAACTGAATTACTTAGATTCTGTAAGAAGTCACTCTCTGAAAGTAATTGAAACTCTGATATTCTGCCTTGGAGATCAGCAGAAAGACCAAGCAATGCCAGAACTAGAGGGTATGGATAATGAACAAAAGGAGTCCATTTTAGATTTAGTGACTTCCTTTCATAGCCAGCAGATGATTTCTGATGTTCCTCAAAGCCTGAGCAAGTTTTATGCAGACCTCAGAGAAGCTTATCCAAAGAAGAAAAAGGGTGTCAATCAAGATGTTCATGTCAATTTGATAAATTTATTTCTCTGTGTGGCTTTTTTGTGTGTAAGTAAAGAAGAAGAGTGTGATCGGGATTCAGCTAATGATTCTGAAGACACATCAGGCTATGATAGCACAGCTAGTGAGCCTTTGAGTCACAAGCTACCATGTTTGCCACTAGAGAGCCTTACTTTACCGTCCCCAGAACATATCCACAGGGCAGCAGACGTTTGGTCTATGTGTCGTTGGATCTATTTGTGTAGTTCAGTTTTCCAGAGACAGTTCCATAGGCTTGGTGGTTTTGAAGTTTGTCATAGATTAATAATCATGATAATCCAGAAACTTGCCAAAAATAAAGAAAAGGAGCAAGAGAAAAAGGAGAGAACTTTAAGTGAAAATAATAAATGTTTAAATGGCAGCCCTCCTAATGAACCTGTTTTCAAAGAAGATTCATATTACTCGACTCTGAACAAACAGTTGACACAATCAGAGCTTAATAGTCTTGATGAAAATCCTGATGCTAGTGGACAATTGGTATCTGAATGTATCTCCTGTGACCATTCTTTGAAAGTGGAACAAATTTCAGTTGCTATGGTTGATGAGCTTGAGGAACTAAAGAAGTCTGTAAAGCAAGAGAATGAGTGGTCACTTCAGAGTATAAGACTCTTGGAAGCTTTGCTGACTATTTGTCTACACAGCGCAAATAGTACCCAACAGAAAGCGGAAGTGGAGTTGCTTCACCAGGTAAATATATCATTTACATAAAGTTCTTAAAGATATATGTACAATACTGTCTTGCCAGTAACTCAGAGAAAACTTATTTTAGAAGTGGGCAAAGGGTAGTACTCCTTATTTTCTTCTAATACAGTACCATTTTTTTTATTGAGGTTTAGGGATGAGGGTGAAAGTCAAAGAACTAGACACCAGGTCGATCTGACTTTTGATTTGCTTTGTGGACTTGGGCAGCTTTCTTAACCTTTTCGTCTCATTTTCCTAATCAGTAAAATGTGGAATGGTGTGAGCCTTCTGGACATGTTAAAGGGGCATGGAAGAAATAAGTGTTATTTTAAAAACTTGATTGCATTAGCTTTGTACTGTTAATTGGGAAGTAACCAGTTGCCTAAATTTCAGCAGCATGAAGATTTTGATTTACTGGATGACAGATAGTAACAGAGAGATCTTCATACTATTTCAAGTGATTGGGATGGGGCTGAGTATGTAAATGGCAGTGGAATTCAATCCATTTAGATAGGAGATTGGTGGTGGACAGGGGAAGCTAAAAATAAATTAGGATATAGTAATCATTGCATAAATACTGGGACTGAATATAGTATGGATTTTTTGTTTCATTTAGCCAAATACAGAATAACATGAAGCATAATGGATGTTCTTGTTTTCTTCATGTAGTGTGTGTGTCTGGAAGATATATTACTTGAAATGCGGGACCAGCTTGCCCAGTCAAAAGCAATTGAAACTTGCTTGGCAAAACCTCTGTTAGATTCGCTGCTTCGAGTTGCGTTGGGAAATTATTCTGCTGATCTGGATCATTCTGAAGAGAAAACAGAGAAGGTATGCAACAGTATAACACTCTGACTAAACACAAGTAATCTGGTTTAAGGAGATTACTTGTATGTGTAAAGGTTTGCTGGATCAGACCTGTATGTGCTATGCATAAATAAGCATGCGTTGTCACATTATCAGAGGGCATGTGCCAGTAGTGTAGCTGGGGGGGAGCAGGGGGAGCGGCCGCTCCCCCACTAAGCACATTCTCCAAAGTGGCGCCTGGTGTGTCCACTCCGTGGGTGCCCCAGTCCCCGCCCCACCCAGCTCACCTCCTTCCCTGAGCGCACCGCCGTGTTCTGCTTCTCCCCCTGGTTCCCAGCGCTTGGGCCGCAAAACAGCACGGCAAGCCTGGGAGAGAGAGGTGAGGAAGGGGGAACATGGCGTGCTGGGGAAGAGGCGGGGCCAGGGCGGGGATTTCAGGAGGGGTCCAATATGTGCACAGGCTTGTTTACAGTTTTTAATGCTTTTAGGGAGTCATTCATGGATGCATGTAAACACCATTGAAGTTAGTGGATGTCTGTTTTATTCGCTGTGTTGATCATAAATGAAAGTGCTTATGCACAAAGGGGAAAAACAAGCAAGCTACATACATCATAGTATTGATTCAGGGAGAATAGCTCTGAAACTTGTTTCAGTTCACTTTTTACTCTACAACAAGGATAAATTGCCCCCCCCAAAAAAGGAATTTTCAAGAAAGCTCTTCAGTGTGGGAGGCTGATTGACCCTGATGCTTTTCTCCTAACGCTCACAAGACCCTTTGCGAGGTATGGAACCATCATCCCCTTCTACAGATGAAAAGAGATCAAGATACTTGCTCAGGGTCTCGGTCAGTTTGTTAGATTGGAAACGAGATTTTTTTTTTTTTTTAATTTAATTTAATTTTATTTTTTCCCCCTGTTTTAACTGTTAGTGCTGCCAGAAAGTCAAGTTTAAGAACATGGGCCCCTTAACAGAATCCTTTTTCCTGTTTGTTTTTAAGATACATTTGATGCATTTTTTTTTACTCATCCTAAAAAAAGAAAAATCAACCTACATGTTTTGCTTTCAAAAATTATCCTCCACCCCTTTACATTTTTTTTTTTCAATTTAAGTTTTGACTCATGTTTGTAGAGACAGTATTTCCCAATAGATGGTATGGATTGTGCTGTTCCCTCCACTTTCAAGAGCAGAGATAATTTTTGAATTAAAATGAAACAGTTGGTTATAAGTTTCTAAGTTTGTTTTGTTCTTGTTTTTAAATATGGATGTCACAGATCCATCATACTGAAAAGGCATCTGTGTCCCAACCTGAAGACCTTTCTGAAGAAGCTGAAGAATCACAGTGCTGTAGTTTTAAACTCTTTGCTGAAGAGGAAGGCTATGAAGCGGATAGTGAAAGTAATCCTGATGACAGTGAAAGCAAGGATGAAGGTAAATGCAAACTTTGCACAAGCATCAGGCAAAACCATCTTTAACTGTTTTATAGACTAGCTTTTACCATGTGATTTATGTGAAGTACTGGACTTTTTCCCAACATGCAAAAGTGGAATAGATTGCAGAGGCCATAACACATTTTCAGTGTAGGTTATTTTTGTAGTATGAAACAACTTTATTGCAGGGGAGAGTAACAGTTCACATCTATTTTATCCAAATGTTATGGGGAAACGTTTTACACATTGAGTTTTGGCTTCTGTCAGATTGCTCTGAAGTACTGTTGAGTCATTCTCACAGAAGTGTGTTATTGATTGTGGTCTAAAAGCAGTTTCTTCTCCAGATAGGATCATAAGTAAGTAGTGTGCGGGTTTTTTATTTATTTATTTATTTATTTATTTATTTATTATTACTCTATGCTCAATTTTTTTACAAGGTTATCTTCCTTGTAAAATATTTCCTAGTCTGAGCTTAATCTTTGTGTGTGCGTGTGTACATACGCACCCCTCTACCTCCAATATAACGCTGTCATCAGGAGCCAAAAAAATCTTAAATAAATAGGATATCTCCATTAATTTATTTTATCTCCTACAACTGGAAGGGACCTTCAAAGGTCATAGAGTCCAGCCCCCTGCCTTCACTAGCAGGACCAAATACTGATTTTGCCCCAGATCCCTAAGTGGCCCCCTCAAGGATTGAACTCACAACCCTGGGTTTAGCAGGCCAATGCTCAAACCACTGAGCTAGGTGAAACTGTGTTATATTGAACTTGCTTTGATCCACTGGAGTGCGCAGCCCTGACCCCCCCAGAGCACTGCTTTACCGTGTTATAGCCAAATTCGTGTTATATCTGGGTAGAGGTAGGTAGAGGGGTGTGTGTGTGTGTGTGTGTGTGTGTAAAATACTAATTTTTCTAATAACCCACACATCCATTGTTTGTTTTTGTTACAAAAATGATTTTTCAAATTAAGCCTACGATGTAAATATTTGCTTTTGTATAACAATTTGATCTAAAGTATACATTAATTAAAATTGAGTTGGAGTTGTAATTTCAATAAGGTCTGTCAGTGGTTCTGTGTATATTGTAAATCTGTGTGGCAGAAATATTAGGCTAGGGTTGCCAACTTACTAATTGCACAGAACCAAACACCCAAGCCTCACCCCTTCCCCGAGGCCAAGGCCCCACCCCTGCCCCCACTCACTACATTTCCCCCTCCCTCGGTGGCTTGCTCTGCCCCGCCCTCTCTCACTTTCACTGGGCTGGGGGAGGGGGTTGGGGTGCAGGAGGAGGCAAGAGTTCTAACTGGGGGTACAGGTGCCTGGGTGGGGCCAGAAATGAAGGGTTCAGGATGCCAGAGGGGGCTCCAGGCTGGGACAGGGAGTTGGGGTGCAGGAGGGGGTATGGGCTCTGGTCTGGGGGTGCAGGCTCTGAAGCCGGGGATGAGGGCTTTGGGATGCAAGAGGGGGCTCTGGGTTTGGGGGGGCTCAGGGCTGGGGCATAGGGTTGGGGCTCACTGCTGGGGCACGGGCTTACCTCAGGCGGCTTCCAGTCAGCAGCACAACGGGGCTAAGGCAGGCTCCCTCCCTGTCCTGGCTCCATGCTGTGCCCCAGAAGCAGCCAGCAGATCCGTTTCCTAGACGGGGAGGCCAGGAGGCGCCACACACTGCTCTCCCCCGCAGGCACTGCCCCCCAGCTCCCATTAGCTGTGGTTCCCGGCCAATGGGAGTGTGGAGCCAGTGCTAGGGGCTTGGGCAGTGTGTGGAGCCCCGTAGGCCCCCCCACCTAGGAGCTGGATCTGCTGGCCACTTCGGGGGCACAGCGTGGTGCCAGGACAGATAGGCACTAGCCTGCCTTACACCCACAGCACCGCCGACTGGACTTTTAATGGCTCAGTTGGCAGTGCTGACCAGAGCCACCAGAGTCCCTTTTTGACCGGGCATTCCGGTCGAAAACGAGACACCTGGCAACCTTATAGACATACACTTCTGTATATATTAGAAGACTAACTGTATAGTGTACTTTAAATCTGTCTGAATAAGAGGGGAATTCTAGAATTTTTATGGCTTACCGGAAGTACTTGCACAAGATGTCTAATAAATCTATTTGTAATTGTTTGTGTGACAAGTGTCTTTGCTTTAAGTAGTAGTAGTCTTAAAACCAAACCAAACAATAACTAACAAAAAACCCCAAACTATCAACAAAATGTATGTTTTTGTTTCAGGAACAGACACTAAAAGAGAAGCGGGATGCATGGTCCCTTCAAGTTATTCCAGTGACCTAATTGAAAACATCAATCAAGGAGAATTAATATACCCTGAAATCTGTATGCTAGAATTGAACTTGCTCTCAGCCGGCAACCCAAGCCTAGATGTACTTGCCCATGTTTTCCAGAGCTTTTTGAAAGTCATCAGGCAAAAGGAGAAAAATGCCACTTTCCTTATGCAACAGGTAGAAGATGAATGTGATTAACAAAACAGAACTTGTATAGCATGTTAATAGGAAACTGGTGAAAATATTGTGCAAGAGAACCATGAAAATATTCAAGTATATACTCTTGCATACTATCCATTATTTTGTATTGGAATATTTAATATAAACTGAAATGTTTTTATATGACTAAAGTTACAAATTAGTGACATGTAGAGGTAAGTTACTAGACAGTATATTTTAAACGATGTACTGAAAACTGCTTTACCTGTCTGGATTCTGAGGCCTGGTCCCCACTAAGCCCCCACTTCGGACTAATGTACGCAAATTCAGCTACGTTAATAACGTAGCTGAATTCGAAGTACCTTAGTCCGAACTTACCGCAGGTCCAGACGCGGCAGGGAGGCTCCCCCGTCGATGCCGCGTACTCCTCTCGCCGAGCTGGAGTACCGGCGTCAACGGCGAGCACTTCCGGGATCGATCCCAGAACATCGATTGCCTGCCACCGGACCCTCCGGTAAGTGTAGACGTACCCTGAGTTCAGGTTTGCAAAGCCTTGTTATGCCTATGACTGTTTATAGTCACTGTGGACTGTGGCTGCTTTGCAACTGTTCAGCATATTTTAAAAATGTTACAGCATCAGGCCAGTGTTGTAGTCAATTTGGGCTTAGGATATTAGAGTGACAGGGTGGGTGAGGTAATACTTTTTTTTTTTAATTGGACCAGTTTCTGTTGGTGAAGGAGATGAGTTTTTGACAGAGCGCTTCTTCAGGTCTGTGTCACTTGAAAGCTTATTTCTCTCATCAACAGAAGTTAGTCCAATAAAAGATATTACCTCACTCCCCTTCTCTCTCCAGCATAAGGCAAACACTTGTGTATCTGGGAGCAATAACTCTGTCCTCCATTCTGGCTACCTGTTTTTTCCCCTCCACCCTTTTACTAGCACCATACAGTCCACAAGAATCATTACAGCCCCAGAGCTAATGTAATCCTTTTAAATTAAGTAATCCAATTAAATAGACTGACTAGTTAAAAACAAACCTGTACCTCACATATGGCAGAAGACCATTCATGCTCTATATGAATACATGCCTGTGATCTCCTGAAAGACTTGGGCATTCTAAATATTTCTGAAGCTTTTTGTGCTCTTATTTTGTTCCACCATAGAGTTTTGTAAAAACTAGCATGTCCAAGTTAATTGTGGAAGGCCTGTGTGTCATTTGTTGATTCTGGGCAACTTAGACAAATTGGAATTTAAAATAAGAAATTCAGAGGACGTTTTTGTTTAGCCTTCTATGTCAGGGGAACACCAATAATAAATTATTTTAGATGTATCTCCATGAAGGGGAAAATGTGGCAAGTACTAAAAATCTTCTGTTAAATCTGTCATTCATATAAACATTTGCCTATATGAAAACAGGGAATCTTTAAAATAAAATATTAGATATGCTTTACAGTTGAAATTAGAAGCATTAACTACCCGGGAACCAGTGATCTGGAACTGGCCCAACTGATGCCCTCTGTATCAGGAAACCTTCACTGTCTGCACACTGATTCTTCAAATTATTTTTGCAAACTTACTGTAATGTGTTTGGCTGTCTCTCTCCTCACCCCCACCTCACCCCCTTCATCTCTTCATAATCCTTTCTATACAGGCAAACCTGAGCCAGACAGCCACTGTCTTAAAAACAAACACATTTCTAAAGCTACTAAATAACTTTCTATTGGATGGCAGACTCACTTGCTCCATCTCTTATCTACACCCTGTTATTAGTCCTATCTTCTTTTTTGAAAGCCTTTGATTCCCTGGTGAAGTGTCCTAGGGCAATCTTCTGGTTGATCATTGGCAGAGACAAGGTGGTTTAGCAGGTCTGATCTAAGAGTCATGAGATTTGTGTATTCTTGGCTTGGCTGCTGATGTGCTGTGTGACAAGGTAACTCATGGCACCTCTCTGTTCCTGTTTCCCCTGCCACACTTTGTCCAACTTATCTATTTAAATGGAAACAATTTTGGGACGGGGTTGTCTTACTATGTGTTTGTGCAGTACCAAGCACAGTTGCAACTTCTAAGAGCCATAGTAATATAATTAATTATTATAATTACCTCCCATAATACTTTGAGATTCAGTTCCTGTGTTTCAGACAAATTGAGAATAAAGACACAAAATACCTGATTAATCTGATTTAGGATGAGATCTTCTTAATGACTGTGGTTTTTTGTTTTTGTTTTTTTTTTTTAATATGCTTTTGTGACTTTTTGGTACAAATATAAACAATTCTCTTGATAAATGATAGTCATGTAACTCTTGTGGTAGTTTTACCTGTATGGACTTTACCTGGTATTTTTATGACTAAGTTAATAATCCATCTAGTGGTCTTTTCATATTGTATTGCCTATGATGTTTGAGGCTTTATTATGACATAGAAAAAGTGGAAAATCCTATATTTTAATACAAATTTAATGTATTTAAAATATAAATAACTTCAGGGGATAGCCTTAGAACCCAAATCACCTATGACTCCATGAGGAAAGAAGGTTGTTGATTGTATGTTTATTAATTAGTCACTTTTTAAATAAACCCTGTTCCTGAAGACTCAAAAGCCACAAGAAAATGTATATAATTTGATTTCTTTTTAGAAAGTGACAAGAATACTTTTTCCAAATCTAACACAATGTTGACTTTAGAAAGAAGAAAAGGAATACAAATCTATTTGACTAATCAGTTTAGTGATTATGAACAAAAATTGTTTGAGACTGGATTATGAAGGATGCAATTTTTTTTACTAGCAGTGAAAGTGAGTTTGCTTTAAATGTTAAAACACTGTTTCACCTTTACTTGACCTGAGAATGTGTAATTTGCTTAGATCTGTACAGTAAATTGCTGTAGGCCAGTACTTAATCAATTTATGGTGATGCAGAAAAGATGACTTAGGTTCCTGCAATGTAGTCTGTAAGAACAATGTGTTCTCAAGTAGTTGCCAGACTGGCAGTGGCTCAACAATTGATGCTTTAATCACCTTGATCCCAAAGGCTGTCTCATAATCAGAAGCATCTGAACTAGTCAGAATCTTGCAAGCAAATTCAGTAGTTCTTTGATAGAACACATACTAAAAATCACAAGTAAATCACTAACAACATTTTATTTGACAAAATCAGTTGTGAATATATTGGAATACTTAAAACAAATTCTGTTGAGTTTTGTTCTTCAAACTGATGTGAATTGTTCAGATACCTAACTTCAACGTTTTCTCTTGCAGGGAGCTGTAAAAAGTCTTCTGGGAGGATTCCTAAATATCTTGATACAGAAGGACTCCAGTTTTCATGGTGGGTATTAATGTTGTTTACTTCTTTTTTTTTTTTAAAGAAATGCTGAAATTAAAATAATGTATATGTTATACAGTTACAAGTATATATGCTCAAACTTTCAGCCCACAACTATTAATGAACATGCAAAACTGACAAGCACATCCATGGGCACATGCAAATATCCACACTTATATGTACAATCCAAGTATGCTTGTATTTTAACTTTTATATTCAAAAGTGTTGGTTTTTTTTGGTTCTGGTGGTTTTGCTGGGGGAGTGATTGGAGTCTGCATAATGCCAAACAGGCATTATGCCAAACCTGCAGATTTGAAAGGTTTTCTGAACACCTGGACCGAAGAGACTAGTGTTAATTTAGTGTTTCTATTTTGTAGATGACAGTGTAGCTTCTTCAAAAGAAAATGACGTTATTACTTCTATAATACATTTTAGAATCAATCGATTTGTTTTTAAATGTTTAAATGTGAAATTAGCATTCACAGAAAGTTTTAGCTTGATATTAGAGGATCAAGTCCTCAAGAGGTACAGCCATGGCAGTGCAAGCCTCCTCATAGTAGGCTATTTATGTAGGAATACCTTTTGAGGTGAGAATATCTCTATACCCAAGCAATCTGTGATTTCTTAACTAAGACTTTCATACGAATTAATTGTGATGTGTGTATTGTGGACCAGCCAACCTTCCTGTATTGCACATAATTGAAGCCAGCGAATAAATGTCTGGTAGCAATGATTTCTGGTTGCTACAAACCCAGCCTAGAAGTGACCAGATTTGTGTCTTGGTAGCTCCCATTTCACTATTTTTTTTTAAATTTATTTATTTTAATTTAAGGAAAAAAGTTTTTTTGCCTGAAGTGCCTATTCTAATTTAGTAACTGAGGTAGATGAAATTATCTGTATTTATTTCGTCTGATTTTTGTCACAGAAATGGTAGAATGATAGGATTTCATCTGATTGTAAGGTTGTGTATAAAAGACTCAAAATTTGGTACCCTCTCTCCTTTTAGGCATTTATATGTGAATAGTTGTTTAATATATTGCACATAAGTAGTAGCCCACTTACCTAGAAACATTTTTCATTGTGTAGTGAACTATGGTCCTATTAGATGTATTCTGTTCCTTGCCTTTGCCACAGATTTGCTGTGACATTGGGTAAGATGCTTAACTCCTCTGTTTGGTGTTCCCATTTAGCAACAGGAAATATATGCCCCATATGAGAGCTGTGAGGCTATATTCATTAATATTCTTAACTTGAGATTCTTAATGGAGTATGCATCACAAAATATGTTGGTTCTAATGTTTTCAGTCAGTTTATTCTGTCTCATCTTAATGTTGTCCAAAAGCAAGTTATGACAGCAATATACTGTGATATTGTATATGAAAAATGTTCTTTATTTAGGCAAATGTTGATACCTTTTTATCATCTATGTAGCATGCCAGATAGTGCTGGTAGAGCTTCTGGTGTCTTTGATGAGCTCAAGGACATGTGCAGAAGAGCTAACCCTTCTCTTGAGGATATTTTTAGAGGAAACACCTTGTACCGTAAGTATACTACAGATCAGAAAATTCCTTAATGCAACAAAGAGTGGTGCTGAACAAATTGACTGGCAAATCAATATATGCATTTCTTTTGGGTACTATTAAGGGACCTTGTTATAACATGTTATAATGTTACTGGTTAGAATGTATATAACTGCCATTTACACTGTGTAAACACTAGTTAGTGAATCTATTTTTCTATTTTGCTTGTTACAATAAAATGTGGTGGAAGGAGTAGGAGAGAAGAGATGAGGTATAAATATAAATTAATTTTTTTGATGGAGGGACTTGAGCATTCATTCTTCAAGTGCAAGGAAAGGCTCGGTTTTGGAGTGGGGAGACAGATGGTGAGGGGAGGGATAATATATAGAAGGTCCTTCCTGTTTGCATCATGGGCAAAAAGCCTTCCAGTTTCCCAGGAATTATCATTGTTTTGTGAACAGGAAGCACTTTCAAGTTAACTAAAGCAATATTTGAGCCTATTGCTTGTTGTCGCCATTTTGCTGAATTGTAATCTGTAGTTTTGTACAGGAAACTTTGAATATCCTTCCATTCATTCTGTTGCATGTTGGAAGAATAACTTCATGGTATAGGCATTTTATTTAAATAGTAACCAACAAAGCAAGAAGACATGGAGGCTGAAATGTTTCACAAGTAGCATGAGATTTTTTTTTGGGTGTCTAACTTGAGAAACATTGGCCGTAATCTTCAGAAATGTTGGGAACCTACAACTTGATTTGAAATTAGTGATCAGGACCTTTAAATTAGGCTAAGGTATCTTAAGTTGGGCATGCAAAATCGGAGGCCATTTTTGAAAATGTGGATCTGAGTTTAAATGAAGAGGTTTCTTTCTATGTAAGCTGTATATTACGCATTAGCATTGGCTATATAGATTTAACACAATTTGATTCTGGTTATTTTTCTGATTTATTTCTCTTAGGAGATACTACTTAAGGGTATCTTGAAGATTGTGGAGATGAATATCTATATGAGTCCATTACAATATCTCTCCTTCCCCTTGCTAAAGAGCCCAAATTTAAATAGTAGTTCTTCACAAAAATCGACTAGTGCACTCAACAGCAAGACCGTAGGACTATTAAAAAGAGCAAAGTTTTCACAAAATAAGAAGGAAGCAGATGGTGAGAATTTGACTCACCAGCTTCTTTCTTCTTGGCACGTAGCCCCAATCCACCTGCCTTTGGTGGGACAAAACTGTTGGCCGCACATGTCTGAGGGCTTCAGTATCTCATTGTGGTTTCATGTGGAATGTGTTCAAGAAACAGAAAGTCCCACAGAAAAAGGAAAGAAGAAGAAAAGAAGCAAACCACTAATTGTGCGAGAGAGCAGTTTTGATGGCACAGGTAAGTTATAATATTACTGAACTTATAAAGCTGAGGGATTTCAGATATTTCTACTAGATATACGCAATAAAAATGCTGAACAGAAAGCTGTAATTCAATATTAGCTGCTCTGTACTGTTACAGTTAATGTATGGCACCCAAGAGTGAACTTGGCCTTATATTTTTTTGGGACAGATAAGATGTGGTAGAATGATCTCCCACTTCCAGCTTTAACTTGAAAACAGTGAAAATATTTAAGTGTTGAACTTTTAAGTTACCCTTAAGTGTCCATAAGAGAAGATATTACTGATTTCAGAAGTATCATAGTGGGTTTGCCCCCACTTTGACTCACTCGCTTTCTCAGCACTACTTACTATTGTTCTCATTGAATTAGGAGCCAGAGATAATAAAATACCTATTTGTGCCATCATAGCCATATTAAGGAAATGAAAGTATTCTGACTTTCAGTTGGAGGTTCTCTAGAGAAGTCTGCTTCTGTCTCTTGAGTACATTTTGGTCCTTTATTTGAAAAGTTGATGAAGTTGTAGAGTGTTTTGTTTTTAAGTGGGAGCTGATAATGCCGATTATAATTCGGGTTACAAAATCGTTTCAAACCCTTATTCAAGCAAGCAATTTCTCTGAATTAAATGAGACTACATATTTGAGGAAAGGACTGCTGCTGCGAGCAGGACCACAAACCCTGAAACCTTTTGCTTTAATGTGCTTCTACAGCTTTTCAAAAATTTCACCGTCTGGGCAAACATTTAGTCAAACTGTAGTCCGTGAAGGAGGGAAAAATAAGTTTCCCATTTTAAACTTCTAACCAGAAACCCTTTTTACCCAAGGTTACAGTAACAAGGCTGAAATCCAAAACTTAGTATGCCTGCTCCCAGTTGAGGCCTTTGCTTTTGGTGATAAAGGGAAAATATTTTACAAATTCCATACATAGACTATTCTAAGTATTTATTGATGCACGCTAAGGCTCCTGTCCAACAAAGCCCTTAAACTGATTAACTATAAGCATGCAAGCAGTTCTGTTGACTTCAGTGGAACTCATGTGCTTAAGTGCTTTGCTGGGTGAGGGCCTAAAACACAAGTGACTTGTGGCTGTACGCAATTATAGTAGCTGCATGGCTGGCTCTGTGTAAAGATGCTGATTCAAAGAACATGCAGATTTATTGCCTCCAGAGTTTTCTTTTCCCCTTAAACTAAAGTGGAAAATTTAAATGCATGCCTGTGGAGATACCTTCTACAGCAGTGGTGGGCAACCTGCGGCCCATCAGGGTAATCCGTTGGCGGGCTGCAAGACAGTTTGTTTACATTGACCATCCGCAGGCACGGCCACCTGCAGCTCCCAGTGGCTGCGGTTCGCTGTTCCCGGCCAATGGGAGCTGCGGGCCACAGGGACATTCTGGCTGCTGCTTCCCGCAGCTCCCATTGGCCGGGAATGGTGAACTGTGGCCACTGGGAACTGTGGGTGGCCGTGCCTGCGGATGGTCAGTGTAAACAAACTGTCTCGTGGCCCGCCAGCGGATTACCCTGATGGGCCGCAAGTTGCCCACCACTGCTTTAGAGAGTGCTTTACGTCAACTTTAATGTAAGATAGACCTAACCAAGGAAGACCTAAGGCTCCAACGATGAAACTACAACATAGTGCTTATACTAGTCAATTCACCTTTAAAGAAGTTTCTTATGATATATAAGCTGCTTTTTTGCACGTTGTGGACTCTAAACAGATGTTGTTGTAAGTCATGGTCTAGTTAGTTATAAATGCTATATATGCTATTTTATTTAATATCTATTTATTTTCCTAGAAGAAAGCAAATCTGTACGAATGGAGTACCTTAACTTGGGGGACAAACTTATTGAAGACGGCTGCATTCATATAATTTCATTGGGTTCCAAAGCATTGATGATGCAAGTCTGGGCAGATTTGAACACTGGAGCGTTCATATTTCGGTACTGTATATTTCTGTTAGCCCAAAAGTAGGAAGAATTGTAAATTCCATAATGTATGACATCTTGTGCGAGCTGACCTGGAGTAGTAGCATGGAGTCAGCCCCAGGATAGAAGACAAAGCTATGTATATGTATGGCTTGTAGATTATTGGTTACTTAGAACAGAAAGATCATTGACATCATGCCATAAATTTATGGCACGGTGCTTTACAAACCTAAAGAAACCTTCCCTATGTACAGGCTTTGGCTCCAGCCTTTCATCTTTTTCCAGGTAGGCATGATCCTATGCCTGTGCAGAGCAAGTTGTAAGAGATGTAAGACAAATAAGAGCTAATAAAGGACAGCAGCTGAGGGATGAAGGAATTAAGAAGGAAGGAGGGAAGTTGCTTGGATAGGTGGATGAAGGATTGATGCATAAGAATAGGGAGGCTGTTCCAAGTATAGGAGGCAGCATGACAGAGGAAGAGAGGCAGTAAGGTGAGATGCTTATCAAAATGGAATGGAAGAATGTTGTCTTTCCTGGGGAGATGGAAATGGTGAGTGCTGAATTGTTCTAACCTTGGATCCAATCAACTTTAGGATATGCTGATAGTTACAGTCCTCCTGGTCAGGCCAACTTTGGGTCTAACTTAAAATTCTTATCTGCTGGTTGGTGTTCATCATAATGTGTAAATTTGTGGACATCAACCAGCAGACTGGAGTTTTTAATGGAGTTATAACTAACTGCAACGTGGCCCTAACCTGTCTCCCCTTTTTGGCTCTAGCAGCAGCTAATAAACAAACATGATGTTGTTTTTTGTTTGTTTTTTTTATACAAACAACTTTACTTGGACCCTGAGACTGACACCTACTATAGGCACCCAAATAACCCTCTTTTCTCTTTAAAAGGCATTGTTATCTGGTTAGGAGATTGGACTGGGAATTGGGAAATCTGGCTTCTGTTCCTGGTTCTGGTATAGATTTTCTGCAAAACCTTGGGCTAGTTGCTTATCCTTATTTCACAGATGAGCTTAATTCTTACCTACCTCAGAGATATTGTGGGGCTAAACTGGCTAATGTTTGAGGTTCTTGGATTTGTTCTGATTTGAGCACCCAAATGTTGACTCTTTCATCTAAATTTGAAAATTGAACTTCCCATGACTGGGTTACCTGCTAATGCAGGGTGGTTCCTGGAGGTGTGACTGTTTCTGCTGTCTTTGTTCATTCATAGGAAACAAAAGTATTTGTTTCCTGTGCCATGTTTTTCAGACTTTTGGCTTTGTAAAAATGTAAATGCATTTTTAGTTATGACAATTTCACACAGCCTTAAATGGATGGTAGCAGAAGCAGTGGGTGTTGATGGTGGGGTTGCCCTCAAACTTTCTAAAGAATGAAGTAGCTTTTAAAGGGGCCTCTTCATAGAAATGATTTGCTAGAAAGGTATTTGCATCTCTGAAAACATAAGTAAAATGTTATGCCAATATGACTAAATTTTACAGGCTACCACTAACGTTTAAGAATTGAGGTGTTGCTGTTAGTCTCTCTCTGTTTATACTACATCTGTGGTGAAGTCTCCTTTATATTTCTGTTGCTGGTACTGTAACAAACTAACTTCATTTAAGCTGCCCTGATGATACAAATAAAACCTGAGCAAATATTTATGATCTTTCTTTTCTGTTACAAAAATGTTGCAACTAATTCTGTATGCATTGCATCTTTTAAAATGAATTTAATGAAGATTTCAGCATTCAGTCAGTTCTTTGTAAGATACAATTTTCAGAAATTGTAATTGATTTAGGCTGTCCACTACCCTGAGCATTGTCTCCTGGCAAAACTTTAAAGTCATGAACAGTTGAAATAGTGCATTAGTCAGCGTCACTCATTTTTAACAATCATATCTGCTGTTTTTTTTTCAAATTGCTTATATTCCATGGGTGAAAAACCCATGATCTGATTTAATACTTAGCATTTGTATATGGTTTTAATCTTCTAAGCTGTTCACAAACATAATTTTACACCCCTCTAAAGATTTGACTTCTAGAACAGGTTGTATCCAAGTGTTTCATTAACTTTTTTTAATGTAGTACCCTCACAACACCCCAGTGAAGTAAAGGAGTATTATTCTTATTTTATATCTAGGGAAATTCAGGCAGAGAGAATGTAAGTGACTTTCCCCAGGCTACAATGTCAAGAGTTCCTGACTCATACTTGGGTGCTCAGCCCAAAAGATCACAGCTCTCTATATTTAGAATGTCTATAATTAATAGAATCATAGAATATTAAGGTTGGAAGAGACCTCAGGAGGTCATCTAGTCCAACCCCCTGCTCAAAGCAGGACCAACACCAACTAAATCATCCCAGCCAGGGCTTTGTCAAGCTGGGTCTTAAAAACCTCTAAGGATGGAGATTCCACCACCTCCCTAGGTAACCCATTCCAGTGCTTCACCACCCTCCTAGTGAAATAGTGTTTCCTAATATCCAACCTAGACCTCCCCCACTGCAACTTGAGACCATTGCTCCTTGTTGTATCATCTGCCACCACTGAGAACAGCCTAGCTCCAGCCTCTTTGGACCCCCCCTTTCAGGTAGCTGACAGCAGCCTTCAAATCCCCCCTCACTCTTCTCTTCTGCAGACTAAATAAGCCCAGTTCCCTCAGCCGCTCCTCGTAAGTCATGTACCCCAGCCCCCTAATCATATTCGTTGCTCTCCGCTGGACTCTCTTTAAATGAAAGTTTAAAAAGTATTTTAGAATAAAATTGATCTTAGACGCAGTTATAAACGCAGTTTTAGAAATCTAAATAAAAGTAGATATCCATAACTCTTTACCTGTTTCTTCCTTTGCTATTTTTGTAGTATGTGTATGGATCCAAATGATGAAATGAAAGCTGGCCTGCTAGCACAGGCTGAATCACCAGAGAACATTTTCCTTATAGGCAAGTGGCAGCATTTGGCAATAACGTACTTGCAACAGCCAGAAGGCAAGAAGAATATCCACGGAGAACTGTCGCTATGGGTCTCTGGTCAGAGGTAAAGTACACTTCAGAAAATTCACACTGTAACTAAATCTTTAAGAAGCCAGCTAGTGGAAACAGACTAATTCCTTAAGGTTTTGCTGGTGAAGAGAGAGGTCACTGAGCCAGGGTTCATAGAGGGGACAGTATTGAGACTCAATTCTTGGGGTGAGAAAAGAGGGACATTTTGCATAGTGAGTTATCATCTGCTTTCAGAATCCATATTCAGCCTCAGGCCCATGCCCCATACATGACCAATTACCCTCACTGTGATTTTTGTACTGGTTCCCCTCCTCCTCCTCCTCCAGTCAGGAACCAGTAGAGTAGGCAGGACACTACAGGAACAAACACAAAGAAGGCAGTTGATCTGTGAAAGGGAAAGAGGAATGGTTTGTGGTTTTGGTGCCTGGCTGAGAAGGAAGGCATGTTATGGGAGGGTCGGGAGGAGGGGACACTCATTTTTTGAGAATGGGTTGGAGAGGGAGGAGGAGAAGGAAGGCATTGAATGTCTGAGAACTATCTTCTGCTCTTAAAGTGTAGATCCTGGAGGATGTGTAGATTCTGTGTTTGAAGTATTAATCTGTGGTCGGTATGCTGCCTTCTAAAATATATGATCTACTAAAAAGAATTGTCAATTCCTTCCTTTCTAAAATAATTTTTTTTAATCTGTTCAGCAGGCAAGTGACTTGGGAAATCTTCGTTCTGGTGTAACAATATTAAAATTCTTCTACCAGTTGCACAGTATTGTTTAGAATTACAAATCCAATTTCAGATTAACTAGTTAGTTGTCAATGTACAATTGCTGTTTGCTTTAGTGAGAGAGGTTTTTTGGCAAGGGCGTGGAGTTAATTCTATGCACCTCATAATTCTGCTGTGTTCCTCAAGCCATAACAGCAATTTGCTAATAGTTGACAAAGAAGTGAAACTAATAGTCTCTAGGTTCACTATCTAAACTGAGTGAAATGCAAACAATAAGTAGTATAAATAGTTAAATGCATTATAAATATATTCTTAAAGCTTTTGTAGTAATTTAAGAGGCTATGTTTAATTTTATATCTTGACTGTATCTTTTAATATTAAAAATGAACACGATCCTGGAAAGTTAATCAAATTTACTGTACTTTAAATATTTTAGATGGAAATTCTGATAAGTTTTTCAAGAACTTTGCAATATTTAAACTTTTGGTTTTTTATTTATGTTTTAGGAAACGTGAGATCAGTTTAGATTACACTCTACCAAGAAAAACAAGTTTATCTGACAGCAATAAAACATTTTGTATGGTTGGTCATTGCATATCATCCCAAGAAGAGCGGCTACAATTGGCTGGGAAATGGGATCTGGGAAATCTGCTTCTCTTTAATGGTATTTATCTATTTAAAGGCAAAAAAATATACATATAACTTTTTCCACTTAACTTACATGTTTTGAATGTAAAGATAGTGTAAATATGAGCTAAATAGAAACTTTTTAACAGGCAAACTTACTACAACAAAAAATAAAAGTTCTACTAAATACTAAAGAGATCCCTGAATTGAGTGTTGCTTGCATATGAATTATTGTAAACAGTGTGAAGATAGATAATTAGATTTTTATTTTTCTGTTTTAGGTGCAAAGATTGGTCCAGAGGAAGCATTCTACCTATACGCCTGTGGGCCAGACTTTACCTCTATAATGCCTTGTAAATATGGCAAAACAATGACCGACTACTCCAAATACATAAGTAAAGACATTCTACAGTGTGAACAAATTAAGGAACTCTTCATGAAAAAGAGAGAAGTGGACGTTGGACCTTTAATTGTAAGTTTCTAGTCCAAGTTAAAGCCTGGGTTCTTTAACTCTTAGCAGTGCATTAACAAATCGGGGGGCCTTAAATTGCATTGGCACAGAAATCCTGGTCTGTACAAGAGATTTTATTTGTAGTTCTGTTTATTTTGCGTTCTTTGTTTGAGGCCCTCTGCTCTCCAAGAATGGGAGTTTCCCTGAGGCCTGATTGACTTCAATGAGAACTCAGTGGAAAGAATTCCCATTGATTTCAATGGATGTTGAATTGGGCACCTTGCTAGCAAGTAGCGGATGACTTTTGCCCCCTCTTATTCATCAAGATTTTGTCTTCACTTGCTGTTCTGTTAATTGTTAATTGAGTCTGGCTGAACATGAAGCTTACAGGTAAAGGCGTGCACAACGGGAGGACAACTTGGGGCACAGGCCTCCCCAAAAATCCCCATGTGGCCCTGCAGCCTGGGGAGGGAGGAAGCAGTAGGGCTGCCAGCTGAGCTCCTCCTCTTCTCACCCATACGGCTACTGGTTCTCCTTCCCTGCTGCTGGAGTCCCATTTGTTGCCTCTGCCTCCACCCCGGACTCACCTCAGTGGTTGATCTGCAAAGCAGGCAGCAGGGCTGGGACTCCAGCAGCAGGGAAGGAGAAGTAGCAACTGTAGGGGTGGAGGGAGGAGGAGCATAGCTGGCAGCCAGCAGCCCTGCTGCTTCCTCCCTTCCCTGGGCTGCAGGGACACAGAGTGTCACTGCTTCCTCACTGCTGGGCGTCCCTGTCAGAGGCATCCCAAGAAATCTGCTGGAGTGCTGGGCATGGGTGGGGGGGTGTTCACACGAACCTTTCATTTGTGTATGTTTTAGCATGCTCCTCGAAAAGCAGTCAAATTTAAATTCCTGCACACACCCCTGCTTACAGGTATTAGAAAGACTTATGAATGGGCTGGAGGGGAGAGAAGATGAAAGAGTGGTGTAGGTGGAATGCCTAATGAACCAGAGTGACACAACTTTTATTATCTCATTTTGCTTTACAGTAAAGGAAGAACTAAAAATTTAAATAGCAAAATGTTCAGAGAAATATAGTTGTCTGTTCATGAGTGAGTTGATTTTAAGACTTGCAGAGAAATTTTTTTTGTAATTTTTTCAAACGAAAGCATAGCCTGTTTTTTCTTTTCTTTTTCTTTTTCTTTTCTTTTTTTTCCCCCTAAAAGTATGACATTAACCCCATGCAAGCTTCTTTGGTACTATTTAGCCCTGTCTGGAGTTGAGGGGTGAATTATTTATTTGATGATAGAAGTGAATTTCGCTCTAATTTCATTACCTTTTCACCTCCTCTACTGAGGATTTTGAAGTAGTCTTCTGTGTATTAGGCATCATCTTTAAGAATGTTGGTATGTGAGCAGATTAGAAGACCCGAGAACAAAGTTGAAGGTGAAAATTGTGTTATAGCAATCCTTTTTTTACTTGAAAGGAGCACCTGTAGTCTTTACTGTGAGGCATTTCTAAAATTTTCCTTTTTTTTTAAATGGAAGTGAAGCTTGTCAATCCCTTCCACCAGCAAATAACCTTTCTTCTTTTTTTTTTGTTTTTTTTTTTTATTGTACAATACTCCTAAAAAGTTTTTGGGGGAAAGGTGGAAGGGAAATCTCAGATAGTGACTGCTTTCAGAAATCTATCTTTCAAATATCTTGACGAAAGCCTGGGAACCACATCGTGTCTCTGCCTCTCAAATGTATATTTAGAAAAATATTTTGAGAGAGGAGTAGAAACAAGTTTATTGAAGCTACTGCTCTGTATTTCCTAGGCCATAAGCTTATTCTGTATTCTTTAAGGCAAAGTAAGAACTGATTAGAAACTGGAACTTTCTTAAATGTATGTTTCAGGAAAGTCTCGCTGTTGTCTATACCACTTGCTGCCCTGCTCAGTACACCATCTATGAACCTGTTATTAGACTGAAAGGTCAAGTGAAAACTGTGCCCTCTCAGAGACCTTTCAGTTCAAAAGAAGTGCAGAGCAATTTATTGGATCCTCATCACCTGAAAATGCTTCAGCCTGTTGAATATAAAACTCTTCAGGGCATACTGCATGAGATTGGAGGAACAGGTGCATTTGTCTTTCTCTTTGCTAGGGTAAGAGTTTTAAAGTTGTCAAATACTTTTTTCCCCTCAGTCTAGCACATCTATGGTGGTTTAAGACTCGGCTCTCTCGTTAGAATTTTGAAATGTAGTATTCTCACTTATTTTTTAAAAATTATGCCTTTGACATTATGGAAAATGTAGCTTGTAACATAACCAACCAACGCAATGTGGTTACTGTGCATCTTAAAAGAAACAAGAAGCTGTTGTAACAGCTCGTGATTATATCCTGCAAGTTCCTGTGCAAATTAAACTCAAAAATATTGAAAGTATAATGTGTTAATGTACATTGCATCTGACTTTATGGAGGTACTAGCCTCTTAAATATCAAGATATGGCTTGTGTTTAAAATATTTTGGAGTTTATATAATGAAAACGTAACTTTTGTTTGTTCTTTTTATTAACCTGTGCCATTGTTTCATATTCACATATAAATATTTGAATTCATGTGTTGGTTACAAACTGCTGTTCCAAAAAAAATTGTTTTGAAATACAATGGACCTCTTCATAGGAGTTCTATTTTTTTAGCACAAAGACTTTGTGTGTTTATAGTGCATGTAATAAAAGTATGGGATCAATTTCACCTTTTTTATGCACTGTGCACATCTGACAAAATGGTACAAATTAGATCTAATAATCTCTGAATGTCTTTAAACCTAAAAGGATGCTATCCTGGGCAGAGGGAGGGGCACAAGCAGTTCATAGGGCTTGCTTGCTTTTGGGGTAAACTCTAAATTTGTATGGGAATGAGGCTCTCTGGTGTTCAGGCAAAATCTGCAATGGAAATTATTCCTATTAATTTTTACTGCGTTACTTAAGTTTTACATAACTACACATTCTACCATACACAGCATTCACATCAATGAAGCATGATTTTAGAGCTGTCAAGCAGCACAGGTGTTGGAAATGGAGCATTGTTACATGTACACAACAGAGTAGGATATGAATGTGTACAAAGTCAGTTGAGCCTTCCTTCTCGTACACCTCTGACTTAATTCAAATGTTATGGGTTGTCTCTCGTAGGGTCCAGGACTGCATTCCCATTGTTTACTACTTCCATATTTGTATTGTCTGTTTACCAGCTTTATCCAGCAGCACAGCTACCACTACCTCTGTGCTATGTGTAATAGAGTTTTAACATTATAGGCAGTCTGCCATGTTCTAGATCTCCAGGAGCCATAAATGAAGGGGCTTTTATAGCATTTACGAAGCATCTCCTCCTCTTTATATAAAATACTCAACCTCATTGAGCAGGTGCTGGACATGTGATTTCCCAGAATGAAAGGGAGCTGTTTACACTTTTCTGCTCTAGTTTTATTTTTTGGAGCATCTTTTTTTTTCACTCCAGCGGGGATGATCTTTGTCATGGGTCTCAAACTTGTTGGAAGATCTTCTTCATTAACTCTATTGGAAATCCTGTGTTTTTAGGTAGAATAATGGAGTGGTATTTCTGTATAGATATGAGAGCCTAATTGAGCCTTAAGACATTAATCATTACACTAGCTCTATCAAATGTTTATCACTTGAATTATTAAAACTGGCTTATTTTTAGGTTATAGATATCAGCAACTGTGAAGAGACTCAAGCTTTAGCACTGCAAGTTATACTCTCGGTAACAAAATACAATCAACAGAGAATACAAGAGATGGAAAACTGTAATGGATATTCCATGATTCATCAGGTGTTGATTAAACCCAAGTGTATTGTTGGATTTCACATTTTGAAGGTATAATGCTGTTAATGTTTGTATAGTTTAATTTGGACTATATGGTTGTTTAGAAGATCCTCTATGCTCTTAGTCCTAGATTTGAAGCCCTACTTGAGATGCAGATTTTTGGTTTGGAGCCCGTCCAATGCAGGAACAATTGCCTTCAATCCAGAAACTGAGAGGATGGGTGAAATGAGAGAATGTTACAGAAACCATTTGGGTTTGAGGGGAAAGAAACAACTGCAAATACAATTTTCTATAATTGCCCCCCCTTGGCAAAGTTATTTTAAGATGACAAGCTAAACAGAAGATCAATTTTAGAAACCTACAGGTGAAATCTTTAAATCGGAAGTGGAAGCTAAAAATATTATTTTAGAGGGGACTGAACTGACACTGTTCATTTTATGCTATCACAGTAGATGGTGTAGGATGTTTTGGGAAGAGGGGAGGAAGAGTTTGGATAAATCTTGAAAGCAAAAACTGTTATCTATGTAATCCCTTACATGTAGTTTTCATAAACAGTAATCCTGGTAGCATTTCTTTTGGAACATCTGCTCTATGATGGAAATGTTTTTGATCTACTTCGTAGGCACAGGAATTCCTGACAAGGGTATTTGATGGATGTAAGGCATATGAACCTTACATAAAAATTGTATTATACCTGGGAGGAAAACTGCAGGATTCTCTGGGAACCACAGGAATAGGTGTCCTTTGGAGGAGACCATCCCAATGACTGCCTTTGAATCTTTCAAAGCTTCGTTTTTGCTTGAGAATGTTTGTTTGAAATGGGCATATGATGTATGTGTGCATTGCCCTATTGAGAAAGTGGACTACAATCCTTAAATTCTGTAGACCTCTTTTCTGAAGTTAGTCTATAGCTAAGTCTTTCAAAAGTGATTAGTCTTTGGCTGGCCAACTTGAGACGCCTAAGAGAGGCCTGATTTTCAGAAAGTGCTGTACACCAATCTTCTGAGGATCAGGCCCCTCCTAAGGGGTGTCAAATTGGGCACCTAAACTCACTGATCACTTCTGGAAAGTAGGCCTGCTAAGCCATAAAAAGCTCTCTGGGCTTTCTGATTACTAAAATGCCTTTTTAAGAGAAAACAAAGATATTAAATATCATAGAATCCTAGAAATGTAGGACTTTTGGGAGGTCTAGTCCACCTCTAATCCAGTGTTGATGCAGGATTAAGTATAGTTATAAGAACGGCCATACTGGGTCAGACCAATGGTTCATCTAGCCCAGTGTCCTGTCTTCTGACAATGGCCAATGCCAGGTGCCCCAGAGGGAATGAACAGAACAGGTAATCATCAAGTGATCCATCCTGTCACCCACTCCCAGATTCTGGCAAACAGAGGCTAGGGACACCATCCCTGCCCTTCTTGGCTAATACCCATTGATGGACCTATCCTCCATGAATTTATCTAGTTTGTTTTTTTAACACTGTTATAGTGTTGGCCTTTACAGCATCCTCTGGCAAAGAGTTCCACAAGTTGACTTTGCACTGTGTGAAGAAATACTTCTTTTTGTTTGTTTTAAACCTGCTGCCTATTATGTTCCATCATAATTCTAGAAAGGATGCAGATAAGGATGAGCTGGAAACAACCCTTCTTAAAATATGGGTGGCTGTAATTGTGGTCTTCAGTACTCTAATCAAAACCTCAAGTACTTTTGTTTTTCTGTTTTAAGACACTTCTTGAAGGCTGCTGCAGTGATGAGATTCTTAATATAAATGAGAGCGGACAATTCATGCTTGATGCAGATTCCACTGCAGTAATCCAAGATATTAAATTGTTAGAAGAGTTGCTGCTTGATTGGAAGATATGGTCTAAAGCACAGGTATTTACCTTCTTTATACAGATAAATAAAATGGATTCCTGTCTAAGAAAAGTACAGTACTTCCTTTTTGTCATCATCCTTACTTAGTCTGAAATGCTTCTCTACATACTAGTTTGGGGATTTGAACAGCTACCAAAATAGTCTGTACCCAGAATAAAACTAAATATAGCACAGATCTTCATGACTGCATTCAGTGTTATAGCAAGGGTATAATTGCAAATCCTTCAATTTTGTTATACATTTTTGGAGAGAGAAGGTGGGTGAGGTTATATCTTTTATTCGACCAACTTCTGTTGGCAAGAGAGACTAGCTTTCAAGCTTACCTAGAGCTCTTTAGGTGACCTCAAAGAGAGAACCTCTCCCACCCTGTCTCTCCAATACTCTGGGACTAATACGGCTACAACACTGCATACAATTATAATTTTTTGAGGTTTTTTCATTAACTTTGCAAAACTTGGTATAGACGTTAAAAGAATCTCAAATTTTAAGGGTTAAAAACTAAATTATGCCCCTTAACATGCTTCTTCTAGGTCAGAGTTTGGAACTAATTTTTAATTTTCCTCTTCCTTCTTTGCATGCAAATACTGTTAAAAAGCATCTTGATTCAGTTATAACGCTTCATATTACCTTCTTAATCTGTTGAAACTAGGATAGCATCGCCTATAAAATAGAGAGAGGAGGAGATAGAACAGTTACTATATTTGGTGCTGCTTGTTTTATACTATTATTTGTTCTGTTTTTCAGCAAGGTGTTTGGGAAACTCTTTTAGCAGCTCTGGAAATCCTTATCAGAGCTAACCATCACCAGCAGATGTTTAACATCAAACAACTGTTAAAAGCTCAAGTGGTGCATCACTTCCTGCTAACATGTCAGGTTCTGCAGGTACTTTGAATCTTCTCTATTATTTTGTGCTTGGTAAATAATTCCGTTTAAACTAGAAACAAAATGCACCTCATTCTTCAATGTTTTTAGTTTTACTTTCCCAAGTATCCCCATAAAGATTAGTCCTTCCCTTTTCCTACCTTCTAACAGACATTATGAAGTGGTGATATTTTCACCAGAACACATCAGTTGTAGAGGTCATCGGAGGGTGATGCAAGATCCTCTAGTACCCCCAATGGCTAAGGGTAGTGCCACCATTCCTGCCAACCTCAGGAGCCAAGGGATGTTGACTCATTCCTATACCCATTGCCACTGGAACATTGCCACTGGAATGTTAAGATGGTCCTTTTATGTCTGGCTTTCAAACTTTTTTTTTCAGGGGACCCAGTTGAAGAAAATTGGTGATGCCTGCAACCCAACGGAGCTGGGGATTAGGGGTTTGGGGTGTGGGAGGGGCTCTGGGCTGGGGCAGAGGGTTGGGATGCGGGGGTGAGGGCTGCATGGTGGGGCTGAGAATGAGGGGTTCAGGGTGTGGGAGGGGCTCTGAGCTGGAGCAGGGGTTGGGGTGTGAGAGGGGGTCAGGGCTCTGGGCTGGGGCCAGGGATGAGGGGTTTGGGGTGCAGGAAGGATTCCAGGTTTGGGGGGGGCTCAGGGCTAGGGCATAGGGTTGGGGTGCGGACTTACACCTTCCGGCGGCTCCCAGTCAACGGCGCAGTTGGGGGTACAGAGGCAGGCTTCCTGCCTGTCCTGGCACCATGGACCACACAGTGCCCCAGAAGTGGCCAGCAGCAAGTCTGGCTCCTAGGAGAAGGTGCGCGATTCTTGCCCGCAGGCACCGGCCTCCACACCCCCCAGTTCCCATTGGCTGGTTTCCAGCCAATGGGAGTGCGGAGCTGGTACTCGGGGCAGGAGCAGCGCGCGGAGCCCCGTGGCCCCCCCCCCGCCTAGGAGCTGGACCCGCTACTGGCTGTTTCCAGGGTGCAGCGCAGTGTCGGAAAAGGTAGCCACTAGCCTGCCTTAGCTGGACAGCACTGCCAACAGGACTTCTAACGTCCTGGTCAGCGGTGCTGACCAGAGCAAGGCGACCCAGCACCTTACATGCCGTGACCCAGTGGTGGGTCACGACCCATGGTTTGAAAAACACTGTTCTATGTAACATCAAATATGTATTAGAGCTTCCATACTGAATATCTATCGAGCTTTACGCACAAATCACTGTTAAGGAAAAGCCCAGGTAGTGCTAGTGTTTTTGTAATCAGCGATTCTAAGTTTTCGGAAACACAGTTTCAACTTTATTTAAGACATAACCATCTGTCACTTTTTATATTATTTCCTAAGAAAATGCAGTGATACAAATTATTCTAGCCTATCCTTAAAGGGGTATGACTATAATATACCTCTTTATTCTTGCTATGATGCTAGGATTCTCATTCCATTTCAATAAAGAATTTTGGATTTTTTTTAAATGGATTGACTTGTTTTCATAATCTGAAGTCAAATACTGCCACAAACAGGAGTACCTTTCTTTTAACTATAGTTGCATGCCTCTTAAGAGCATTAATTAGAACATGAGATGAAGCTAGATGACTTCTGTGTTGTAACACAAGTAACATTACTAAGCAGTTGGTCCATAGTGCAGATTAGGGGCCAGATTTACAAAATTAAGTGCCCGAAGAAGAGGCAGTTAGATGCCTACTAGGACTTACAAAAGTGTCTAAATAGTTTAAGCTCCTAACTCCCATTTGAAGTCAAAGGCACCTAGTGGGATTTTTGTAAGTCTAACCTTAGGTCTCCTTATTCAGTTAAATAGTTGTACAATTGTAGTTAATATTTCAAAATCTATTAATTATTTTTTATTAGACCTATAGATGTCATTAACATTGCAACTTCAGATTACATATAAGTGCTTCCATGGAAACAAACTTCCATTTTTAAAAAAAGTGTACCTGTGTAACTTGATTAGTATTACAGTTGTGTTTCAGGCATGCTAGTTGCAGGTAATATTGAATGGACACAGTAACTTCCAAGTTAGGTAAAGTATACTAAAACTTTTTCCCATATCTATTGTATGGAAAAGTATATGATGCAATAGATTGACAAACTGAGCATTCAGGTTATTTTACCTGTGCATTTCTCTTTCAGGAGCAAAAGGAAGGGCATCTTACATCCCTGCCTCGGGAGGTTTGTAGATCATTTGTGAAAATAATTGAAGAAGTGCTTGGATCTCCCCCAGACCTGGAATTACTGACACTGATCTTCAATTTCCTCTTAGCAGTTCACCCTCCCACTAATACATATGTTTGTCACAATCCCACCAACTTCTACTTTTCCCTGCACATAGGTAGATACAATATTTTGTTTAACCAGAAATAGACTATAAGACAAAATGCCAACCTATTTGATTAAAAATAAAACTAAGCTAATTTTATAAATAGCAGTTCTGTAAATGCCTGTGCTGTACGCTACCATGTAATTAATGTTTCTACAAAAGCTACTGAATTGAGTCTTACAACCAAAATTTCTTCTGATACATTATAACTACTTTGAGTCTATCAAAAAAGACTCTTTAATTGGACTTCATATTTTGCATGATACCTGGTTGGGTTCTTCGTTATAAACCCCCAAAGACAATGTATATTAATAATTAGTGGCTATATTTTATACTTCATTTTCTTCTTTGACAGCTATTAATAATTCTAAAAAGTAAACACCTGTGAGGTTGGTAAACGATCTGTCTTACAGATGGGGAAACTAACTTGTAAATGACTTGCCCAAAGCCAAATAGTCTATCACTTATAGAATCTTCCAGTTCCTGGCCTCTGATGATGTACTTGGAAGACTAGATTAGGGTTCTCTGTGGATCACACATACTGAATGTGTGAATGCACCACAGTACCAATTTACTGAAAATTACAGCTTATGCAACAGTAGGTAATAAGAGCTTGGCCAGCTATTTTCACATGACTAAAATCATGTTAAGTGACATCTCATAAATAGTTTGCAGGGAACAGTTGAGTTACATGCATTTTAGCTGGTAATAATAGAAAACTGACATTGTTCCTTTAAATTGACACACATGGGGTTGTCTGCAACATGTTAACACTACATCTCCTTTGAGAACCGCCTATCTAGATCCACCACATGGGAATGTATGCAAGCTTGTAACCTTCTAGATGGCACTGTCCAGTGGGAGCCACATGTACATCCTTTCACGGCATCAAATGTTCAGGTTCAAGGGTATGAAACATCCACAGTCCCAAATGCATTTCGTATTCTTCAGTCGCCTCTTTATTATTCTCAGTACCCTTTCTCCTATCAGAGACCATTTCTGTTCAATAAAAACAAATTATAGTTTGAGTTAATTGTTGTTCCCTCAAGTCTATTATGTCATGGGTCAGTCATGGTTTTGACTGAAGTAGATTTGCTTTAGGGACACTAATTTCCGACAGGATTTTCAGGCAGCCACGTCAGTTTACCCTACAGGGTTCTTCATATTCAATCATCCTCCTGTTAAGAGTTTTTTTTTAAAGGGCTAGCTTGCACCTTCTCTTCAGCGTTCTGTATAAACATGGTGCTTTTACCTCTACCTGAAAGGTCTCTAGTTTAGGTGGAACTTAAAATCTTCTTGTATGTCTGCGTTTCAATGTGAAGGTGTACTTTCCACCTCTGATTGAACTAGCACTCTAAAAATAGAAATGTAGCTGTGGCAGTGCAAGTGGTGATAGGGGCTTGCTACCCTAGCAACTTCGTAGTTTCTTGGACTGGTACATACTTGAGGCAGCTAGCCCCTTCCAGTTCTTATGCTGCAGCAGTTGCATTTCTATTTTTAATGTGCAAGTTTAATTCGAGCTAGCATAAGGTGCCTCTTCAAGCTGCAAATTATACCTCCAGGTCAAAGTTTAGACATACTCTCAGTTTACCAGTTCCCCAAAACTATTATAAATCATGTGCAATGTTCTGTACATCATGCTAACTTGGATAATGTGGACAATTGCTTAACTGGTTCATTTCCAACAAGATTTGCAAATTAAGAGGATTCTGTTGTACTTAAACTATACTAGAATTTTTAATCCATTTTAAATACATTATTTCGAACTTCAATAATTTTTAATGAGATTGGTTGACAGTGATGTAAAATTCTATAAAAATGTAAAATGTAAAATACATTTTATAGATTATTTCTAATTAAAGTTGGCATTTCCAAGATTTTTGCCAGTATCTATCTTGTTGACATTGTAGATATGTAGTTTTGAAAATAGTGAAACTTTGTGGTGTGAGGTTAAATGCGTTGAGCCAAATTTTCAGACCATACTCTACTGTTGCAGATGCATTTACTTTGCATGTCCAGTTTGGGTAATTAGCTCTCTACTTGAATGGTGTGCAGTTGTTGGCATTTGCACTCCAACATGACTCCATGTACATCTTTATTAGCACAGAATTAGCCCACTTCTGATAGTTTGAGGCTTGGTTAATCTGGTAAAGGAACTAATTTTTTTGTGGGGGAAGAGGATTAGGGAGGGGTATCATTATTTGATTTCACAAAATTTTCAGCAAGATGGCTACTAGCAGTTAGCTTGGAAATGCTATTTTTAAACATACATGTTTGAGAACCATTTCAGAATATATTCACTGAGAGGAATATTCTAAAAATTCTCTTGGTGAGAAGTATAACACCACTATACTGAACAAAAGTAGAATTCTTTCATTCTCAAGTGTGTTTCTTAAATGTGGAAGGAAAGTGCTTGGCTCATTAAACCTTGCAGTGATATGTTATGAATCTTAACTTTGACTTGTTTTCTGTGTTTTTTAATTTGCCAAGAAAAAAAACTTGCCTAGAGTTAAGTCATTGTTCCTCCCACCCCCGTTTTTTTCCTAGATGGCAAGATTTTTCAGGAAAAGGTCCAATCAATCAAGTACCTGAGAAATTCCAGCATTAGTGGCAAATCAATTGACAGTCCTACATATTTAACTACAAGTCCAGCTGGATTTACTGCTTCACCATTGGGAGGTAAAATATTTATATTACATACCTGCTGCTAGAAAAGCATATGCTCAATTTCTGGGTTTGGCAATGAAGCAAGGGAAAAGGCTGCAACTGTTTACAGAGGTGGAACTTAGATGAGTGGTGGCAAAGTTGGCTTAAATTCAGTCAATTAGTGCAAAATAACTAAGATTGTATCAATGTTTTATAACTTGAGCATGGTGAGAAATGATTTGGCCATTTTTAATTTAGTATAAAATAGAAAATCAGCATTTGATTATGCAGTGAGTACAATAATACACTTTCTGTATCTGAGATAAAGTAGGAAAACCTATTAGGAGCAACTTATTCCAGGTATATCCCAAATTGTGTGACTTAGATGACCAGCAAGTTACTTGCCTGAGAGAGAATTGTCAAGGGTTTTTTTTTATTACAGTACACTATTCCAGTTGAGCTTTAAAATGTAAAAAGTTTGTAGTCCGTTCATTCTCTTAATGTATGAGTGCTAAACATACTATAGTTATGCAAAGGAGATTGGATCAGGGCTAGTTAATAATTCTCACCCTTTCCCAAAATAACTTATGCTACTGTTGTGATTTCAATGCAATATTTTAGCATAAAGAGTACAAATTAGTAATTTTCACACCTTCCAACAAATCAGAAGTCACTCCAGCAAAAATTATGTGCCCACTTTTATTAACCAGTATGGGAAAAGTGCTCTAGACTTCTGGAATTTTAAAATGTAGTCTTTCAATGTATATTACACACATTTTCAAACAAATATCATCCCTGGATCAAAATTTAAAGTTGGGTCAAAAAAAAATCTTGCAATGGAACTATCAGTGCAGCCTTATCTATGAAGTTAATGTACATCCACAATGAGGTATAATCATTGGCTAAAACTGCAGGACCCAAACAATTTAGGCAACATGTACGAGAGAGATGTGATTTGCTTCCATTTCTCACTTCCTGTTTGCGACTGTTGCAATTTCTATAATATAAAATCCAACAGTACCACATACCTGACCAATATAATACATTTTGCAGTTAATGTTGAAGCAGTTCTTCCCTTGTGAAAAGCATATTATAAGTTAGCTCTTCAGATGTTATGTACCTGCTAGTTTGAGACTTGACTGTCCATTTAAAAAAAAAAGTGATATGCCTTTCACTTTGCTTAGAGCCATGCCATGAAATGTTGCAATCTCCTCATAAGTTTTTTGGTTTTGTTTTGTTTTTTGCATTAATACTAGTCATTTCATGTTCTCTTACCTGAGGTCCTAAACAATTATAAATTATAGTTCAGTACAAGTTATTCCTTGCTAAATAAAGAATGTTATCTATTCATCTGTCACAGATGAATGTTACAGACAGGTTTTCCTCAGATTGTTGCAAAAATATGATATTCCTGAGGACTGCACATTTGCATTTGCATCTCTGATTTAGCTGCAAGATGTGTAAAACCACCCAAGCAACCAGCTCTGTACTGACTGCTGGAGGGAGTTCATATGTATCTATTATTTCAGCAAGTGTCAGACAGTGCTTAGGAATGCATTCCTGATATGCTGACTTCAGACAGAAGTATTAGCTGGTGTATCATTCTAAAACCTTTTTGGTCAAATTGCATCTTTTTTGATTATAGAAATATTGCATTAGATACTCAGATCTAACACCCTTTTATGAAGACTGTAGTGTCCTAGCACAACAATATTTTTGTGCAATACTTGCTGATAGTCCTTCAAATACTTAACTTCTACATTTAAAAATTGATTTTTCTGTGAATACAGAGTGGAAAGAAGGCTCACAGACTCCAAAGAGGAAACAGAGTAAAATATCCTGAATAAGACAAATTAAGATGAACTGGGAGTTAGTATACAGAAGTAGTTGAAGATGCAATATTTATCTTTAGTTTACATTTATCATTCAGTAAAAGTAGACAGAGACTAATCCAGTTTTAGGTGTTGCATGTTTGTGCCTCTGAGATCAGAGTTGCACCTTTAAACATTGCGATCGATATACACAACTTTACTTATTCAACATTTGGCCATATTCAAACACTTAATCTTTTAGGGTATTTTTTTTATTTAAAGCTTTAGTCATGTATTTGTTCAGGGTTTTATTGCCAACTAACTTAACTGAAGGGATCAGACATAACAGAACATACCACTTAAATAGCAGATTCTAGAAGGTTATATCTTTAAATCAAAACAAAATTAGAAGGACCAAAATAAGACCATTCTGCTTTGTGAAAATTAACTTATATATACATTATTTTATTGCAATATGCTGTAACTCATGTAAACTGAATATTCTGTCTCTGAAATCAAATGTCTCAATAGTTGAGCAAACTTTATGGCCTGCTATGCCAAATGAATGTGGTATCTGTTCATAGTTGATTTAATGTTTGGGGCGGGAAACAGGAATTGTCAGTATAATAAGCCAACAGGCACATTACTTTGTGCATTTTGTGGATATGTTAGTTGGTGGTGAAACAGAACATTAACATTTCTAATGTGGCTTCTAATACAAAATAGATGCTAAGAGTATTTTGTGTTCTCTTCCCCAGGAAACATTATTTCCAAGATTAGCGTACCACAGATAATACTCTCTCAGGCACTTCAACGGCGTTGCAAAAGCCTACCAGCATCTCCTACCTCCTCACCACAAGTGCATCCAAAAAGGCTACCTGGCAACTTAGGTAGAAGTATTGATGACTTGCAGGAAGTTCGGGAGAGTGACTCTGATCCACAGGAAAAAAAAATTTTTGTGGAAAGCTCTGAAACATTAAAAAGGGTACAGGAGGAACTCTTTGTCAGCAGCTGTGAGTCTGCAAAAACAGTTTGTGACTCAGAGTTAACATCTGCTGAAGCATTGGTTGACATTTCAAAAGAAGAACTAGAATTATCTGAGAACAAAGAGCTAAATGCAGAACTGAAAAGTAACGAGGATGATGGTGCTGCAGTTGAATCATTGTTGCGCCGTCCTGACAATCTGAAGGGGCTGCCTTCATTTCAGAAAAGTCCAAATAATTTTGTAGGCTTGGGTCTAGTGTTTTCTGCTCAGAGTGGATCATCCTCCGTTGCTTGCTGGCCAAGCCTCACTGATAGGAGTGCACTTCCTGAAGACACGGAAAGTCTTACCTTCTCTTCAGTTAGTGAAGAGACCTTTAAAAGATCTGAAAGACCTGATTATAGGTATGCACGCTTTTTTTGTTTTTTGTTTTTTTAAAAGAAACCTACAATACCTCAACATTCCAGAAATAATTCTAATAGTACAGTAATTTCTGCCATAACATATAGAATAGTTTCTCATTGACTTGACAAACATTTTGTGGTTCTTGCTCTGGACTACATATTTTGTAAAAAATAGCCAATAAGTGTGAAATTTAGTGTTACATCTGTAGTGAAAGCTTGCAAATCTATTCATTAAACTAGTAGTATGCTAGAAAATTGATTTTGTTTCAAATTCCACATTATTTGGCTAATACCTGCCTTGAAGGGTTAACTGTTTGTATGATGCCTAGCACAGTGGGGCCTTGAACTTGACTGAAAACTTCAGACACTACTGTAATACAAATAACTCTGGTCATGTTGCCCTCTGACTGCAGTCAAGAATTAAGCCCTAAAAAAAAAGGATGAAGAGGAGAGTGTTGGGAAGAGTTTGGGGAAATACCTTTGTCAGACAGTCATTAGTCTGACCTTTGTCTAGCTATACTGAAAGAAGGACAGGAGATGCTTGATATGGTTTTAATCATGCCACAACTTTATTATTAGATGTCTGGGACTACCCAGCAGATAAACAGGTACAGTGCAGGTATCCTCATGTTCTTTCAATATCTACTCAGGGAAGTTCTGCCAGCCCCTTCTCTTTCCATCCAGGTTTCCCATCCAACCCATTCCTGGGATCTCAAAGGAGGGCTAAGGTGGGCTATAAGAAAAGGGGGTTGGCTCCCTGCCAGACCAGTCATAGGAGCCCCAAGCCACCCCATTCTGCTCCTTTAACCAGCACTTCCCTTTTAAGTCCTTTACCAAGCCATTTATCCAGTCACTATACACCCCTCCCCCCATGGAGTACCTGCACTGAACATCTGCCCCACACTTACATAATGATTTGCAAGATATAGCCTAACTTCCTTCACTCACCATAACAAAGCCCCCCGAACCCACTGTGGTGAAAGCTCTGGGGAAGGTTTTAAACCCCTCTCTCCCTTCCCCCGCCCCACACACACACTCTCTATGTAAGCCAAGCTGGTGGTGAGGGAAAAATTCCTTCCCAGCCCCCTAAAAAGGAGTGGCTTCACCTGCTCTTGGGGGGAAAAAAGGCTTCTCGTGCAGGTTTGCCCCTTTTCAACCACTCAGCCCTTCCAGGGGATGAATCAGCATCACCATGCTGACCCACTCCCCCTTTTGAAGCCGCTTTTGAGCCTCTCTGACCCCACTGTAAAGCACTGTTCCTTCTCATTCTGCAAGCTGGACAACACCCCTTTCCCCCTGTGCGCTTAAAGGTGCGGTGTGGTCACTTCCCCCTGCAGGTAGCCTGTAATGGCATTTATACACGCCTATGGTTTATAGGCAATTCGATATAGTAATAGCACATTTTCCTCTTTGTTTTCAGATCCACAGAAGATTGCCTTGTGCTTATATGCTGTGGATTGTATGACCTCTTACGTGGAGTTCTTTTAATCTTGCCAGATATCATGCTAGAAGATGTGATAGACAAACTTATTCAGCCTGACACTCTTATCGTTCTTGTGAACCATCCATCTCCTCTCATACAACAAGGAGTCATTAAAGTAGGAGCATATACAGTCTAAATGTTTGCAACTTAGATAAGCATATAAACTAGCTCACTTGAATATATGCAAAGTTTGATCTAAGATGTTCTTTATATGCAGATTGTTAGCAAAAATAAGATTGACTTCTTTATTATATTCCCCTAGTTTTATCCCCACAAAGCCTTTTTAAAACTGAGTTGATTATATCTAGATGTTTGAGAATTTCTTCATAAAAAGTATCTTTTCAATTGATAGTTAAACTATAGAATCATAGAATATCAGGGTTGAAAGGGACCTCAGGAGGTCATCTAGTCTAACCCCCTGCTCAAAGCAGGACCAATCCCCAAACAGATTTTTGTCCCAGATCCCTAAATGGCCCCCTCAAGGACTGAACTCACAACCCTGGGTTTAGCAGGCCAATGCTCAAACCACTAAGCTGTCAAATTTATGTAAGTTAGAGATAATAAAAGAAATCAAATCCTATGATGGGAGCAAATAGCACATAAAAATGGGAGTAACATGGTAGAAAAATAAATGACCATCCTTCAGTAACGGGTAGTGCATCAAAAAAAATTATTTCCTCCAGTGTTTGCTTAGTCCTGAAATCCTTCCTCGAGATAGAGTTCCCACTGCAGTCAGTGTGACTCTTGCCTGGGTATTAACTTAAACTGACTGTGGGTTTTATCTTGATTTTTGTCAGAGTGGTTTTGTCCTCCTTATGAAGAGGGAAAACAGTTTGCAGTGGAGAATTTTGCTCTTGAGGCAGGGCCTAAGGAGTAGCTTTGGCTTGTAGTTTGAAGAGGAACTTCAAAGATTTAGTTAAAAAGATGGATGGATAGATAAATACAAAGTAAAACCACTTAAGTCACCAATCAGTAACAATTTAGATAAAATGTAAAATCAATTTTTAATATTATAAACTTTTTTGTTCAATCTTTCATATAAATAAATATAATTAGCTAGCTAGCTAGACCTATGAGGGAAGACTGAAACAATTGGGTTTGTTTAGTATGGAAAAGAGAAGAATGAGAGGGGGGGACATAAGTTTCAAGTACATAAAAGGGTGTTACAAGGAGGAGGAAGAAGAATTGTTCTTCTTAACTCCTGAGGATAGGACAAGAAGCAATGAGCTTAAATTGTGGCAAAGGAGGTTAAGGTTGGACATTAGGAAAAACTTCCTAACTGTCAGGGTGGTAAAGCACTGGAATAAATTGCCTAGGAAGGTTGTGGAATCTCCATCATTGGAGATTTTTAAGAGCAGGTTAGATAAACACCTGTCAGGGATGGTCTAGATAATACTTAGTCCTGCCATGAGTGCAGGGAACTGGACTAGATGACCTCTGGAGGTCCCTTTCACTCCTATGATTCATTGAGGTCAATGGAAAGTGCAAACACAATCAAAGGAAAGAATTTGTCACTTAATTTGGAATCTGAAAATTTTTAAATCTTCCTTTCTGAATGGAACATGTTGCAAACAAGAATATTTAAATTTCTAAGGAAATAATGCATAAAAATATTTAATCTTGAATCAAAATTGTGCATTTCTTTCTAGTTGTTGGATGCATATTTCAACAGAGCAACCAGGGAACAAAAGGAAAAATTCTTAAAGAATCGTGGCTTCTCCTTGTTAGCCAACCAGTTGTATCTTCACCAAGGAACTCAGGAACTTGTGGAGTGCTTTTTGGAAATGCTCTTTGGTCGATTTGTTGGTCTTGATGAAGAGTAAGTATTGCTTTTCTTCAGCATTCAGAAGATTCACTGTTTTAGTTCAAGCAATGATATTGAGTTGTCTTCTCATGGCGAGGATATAATTGCATTTAAGTCCCACCATATTTTCAACAGCAGACAGCCTTATAAACCAGTTCCTCACCAAAAATGCTTCTGATTGCAAGTTTATTGGAACTCTAAAAACTCAGTTTATCTCAGTTTTCCCTTAATTACAGAACATGGTGCACCTTCACTTGACCTTTCATGAGGAGAGGGAGCCCCATATCTTTGTTCAATATTGAGGCCTCTCTACATCCTTTGAACTTACCATATTCTGTTTAGCCCTTGCCATTCTCCAGTCAGAGCCCATATGAGACTCTGGGCAATATTAACAACTCAAACACCACCATAGACCCCGCCTACCAAAATGTGACAACTAGCTAGAAAAAAAATTCGGTGCCAACTGCTACCCTAATCTGCATCTGAATCAAAATCTCTAGATTTTCTTTAGTGTCATCTCCACAAATTGTATTACATCAGGGATTGGCATCCTTTGGCACGTGGCCCGTCAAGGTAAGCCTGGTGGCAGGCGGGGCTGGTTTGTTTACCTGCCGCGTCCGCAGGTTCGGCCGACTGCAGGTCCGACTGGCTGCGGTTTGCTGCTCCAGGCCAATGGGGGCTGTGGGAAGCAGCATGGGAACTGCGATAGGCCAAACCTGCGGGCACGGCAGGTAAACAAACCAGCCTGGCCCGCTAGGGGGCTAAAGGTTGCCAATCCCTGTACTACATCCTTGAACCACAAAGAGGCGGAATCCCACGGAAGCACTGCGGAAAGAGAAAATCTCACTTTAAGCAGGCCATTCTGCCAAAGCGGTGGGAAGTAATTTTTCTCTGAATATATGGCTAGTCAGACCCTTCTATTTAATGCTGCAGAGATCTAACAATACAGAATGGAGACTCAATATCCAAGTATAGCCAAAGGCCCACAATCTGCCCAATCAGGAAAAAGCTCTTGCTTCAGTTGCCTACTATAGTGCAAGATCAGTACTCTCAGATTATTTCCTACATATACCAGAAGTTAACCACTCATGCTAATAGGAAGCTTTGAACCTGCCAGATGTCATACCAGCCCCAAGAAGGAAAGCAGACCTCTCCTCAGAAAGGACTGAGGTGGATGGGGATGAGACTTAGCCTTTTAGGAATCCGCTATGATAACTTCAGAATATATTAGTCATGGTGTGGTACAATGATCTATTTTTAATGGTAATTTAATTTCCTTTTCCATTATGTGATAGAAAGTCCTAATGCAAGGACTGTAGTTCAGTTTATGGCTTCTGGAGTTGAAATGAACAAGAGGTATTCATCCTTGATATAATTAGTTTCAGCAGTAATGAATACAGTATATCAAAGCCTCCTCTTGGTCAGTGGATTATTTTATTACAGCAAACCCATACCTCATTTCGTGACAGTGGCACTGCAAGCTGCAATATTTTATTATGAGAAATAGAATGAGTCATAAGAAAACTCTTGTGCCACTGGCTTTTAGTAAAAGCTGAAAGTCAGATTTTTCTGTTTATGAAATGTGTAGTGTAAACCTATTTGTAGTAGCTAAACTTCATTAATATCTCTTTTAGGGGTCTCATTTCCCTGTAAGCCTTCCAAACATTTTTTTGTAATTCTTATTACCATTAACAGATTAGATAAGCATTGCCATTGACATGAAATGAAACGCCATGGAAATCACTCCCATCCCCTGGCCAGGACATAACAGTTAGCATAGAGACTCCTTAGTATTCATAATCTTTTCAATCATTCAAAATTCAGTTGTGCATACTGTGATGATTATTTTAAGGACAGATGATGATGAATTCCTATTTGTTTCTATTTTAATAGATTTGACATGGAAGATGTAAAAAATGCTGGACTTTTTCAAAAATGGTGTGTCATTCCTGTTCTGGGACTTATAGAGAATTCTCTCTATGACAACGTACTGCTGCATAATTCCTTTTGCCTTCTGCTACAAATCATAAATTCCTGCTCTAAAATGGCAGACATGCTGCTTGATAATGGTTTGCTGTATGTGCTGTGTAATACTTTAGCAGCCCTTAATGGTCTAGAAACAAAGTAAGTGTTGCATTACTTGAATATTTCAGATTCACTCTAAAAACAATTTACAAGTTCACATTAGATTATTTTAAGCATGATTTTATTTATATACACACATATACACCCTTCTAATTATTTTTCAATGGGGTATGATTCTGAAATGAAAATCAGGCCCAGTGTATTTAATGCCTTGCTTCACTTATGCTTAAGAGGCACTTCTTTTTAATAGCCGTGTGTGTGCTCTTTTCTTCTACCAAAAAAAAAAAAAAAAAAAAGACCTCATACTTTTGTGTGTGTGTTTGTAGGTCTAATTTTGGAAACTCTTGTGAAATCTCATTGGTCCATTTGAGAACTTGTTAAAGCAAGAAATGTAGGTTTTTTTTTTATTAGTTACCACATTTTTCAAGCGCCTCTTTTGAAAACTTACTTAGCAAAAAGTGTTTTGTCCAGTTACTATGGCAATGACTTGTTAATTTGGGGGGAGGGAGCAAGTGCTTAAATTCCATTGACTGATGGGATTTAGGCATGTGCCTAAGTGCCTTGTTGAATAGGTTTAAATTTAAGCATGTGCATAATTGCTTTATCAGGCCATAACTTGCAGATTTTATGGAATCTTTTATGACATTAACTTAGATATAATCAATAGTAAAGAATTGACATTTTGTACAGAATTCTAGTACAAAGTATCTATTACAGCTCTAAATCACTCTTGTTTTTTCAGATAACTTGGTCATACATTTTTGTAATAGACATTTCGCAGTCTTAAATTCAGTTGAATAAATTAGATATTGTACTTTAATTTGTACCCACAGCAGTCGTCTCCTGGTGAGCCATAGTTGTACGTTGGATCAATGGATAATGTTACATTTAGTCTTAAAGTAAATTTAGTTTTAAAATCTGTCTCATTCATCATGGCAGTTCTTAAAACCTCGTTAATTTTCACTGTGTATTTGTCTAACATTTCCATTGTGCAATTCATCTGTAAATGGTAGCTAACAAATGTGTTGAATTAGATGAGTTAAATAGCTAATCTACCTTCCAGTAAAATAAATGTACAAGTTGTGGTAGTCTTTTCAAAATAGAAGATTTTCAAATGCAATGAACCAATGTTAGAAGATTTAAACATGGGACACTTTGAATGCAAAACTGGAAGGAGGAAAAACGTTCAAGAATCCTCCTGGCCCCTCTCATTTTCTCCATATTGGATCTGACTTATTGTAGAGAGGACAAGGAATTTGGCTTGGCTAGCTGCTCTGAGGCTCATCCCATTCCTTGCCCAGTTGGCTGTTATGTCTGCTATGCTGTGCATGCTGAGGGAATGACATAGGCAAAGAGCCAGATGAGTTTACAGCAGAGCAGAGTCCTAGCTTCTGGGAGGTAGTGGCCACTGCTGGCAAGGAGGTCGCTGCTAAAAGCATGCCTTTCAACTTACCAAGCCTCAACTGTGGGATGCAGTTTGTAACAAAGACCAAAAATAAGGGACACAACAAAATTATTCATGTAGGAAATAAAAATTTGATTAATTTCTTTAGTATAAAGGACTTATAGTCATAGTTCTTTACTTTTGATGTAAATGATGTTCAGCAATTAAACTAAGGGGGTCATTAAATTTGTGTAGCACCTAGGAAACTTTGAGACTTAAATGAGCAATGTCCTTCACTGAAAGACAGAGATGGGACTCAAAAACTGAAAGTCAGGTATTTTCCTTGTCTTGGGTCATGATTCCCAGGTTGGGAAACCCAGATGTAAGTCACACTATACTATGCAACTAAACCTCAATCATGGACAAGAAGAAATAGCATTCTACTAAAAATGTGATCTGTGGCTGACCTGCAGGAGCAACTAGATGCAGTTTACATAAGAATATTCTGCTACTCTCATCCAAAGAATAGCTGCACTGTTCACGATCTAATAATGCACTAAGTTTACCCAAAAAAGCTGATATATGTTTAAAAATATTTTACCTACTTCCTTTTTGAAATCTAAACAGAGGAGAAAGTAAAACTGTTTGCCCATGTGTTCAGTTACTCTGGCGCAGAACAAATATTCAGAATTTTGAATGTTCAGTATAACATTAATTTATGGTTGCAAAACTGGAGAGAATAGTACAGTGTTTAAAGTTCAGTAATTTGAGAACTTTATAATTCAGATCTGTTCTTCACTTAAAGTAAAAGTCATTTGCTTTCAAGACCATTATATGGAACTTCATTCTTAACACTGGAATCTCTTCCAAAGATTTTTGGGTGTCTACTTTTTCTGAACTAAAACATAGCTAATGTTGCCTTTTATGTGTCAACAGTTTGTTTCCCGTCTTCAGCAGTATCAGATTAAGTGTGGCAGTGTTTGGATTTTGTAACATTATCTGTAAATTACTTTTCCTTCTACTAACCATACCAAGTACTGTGTTAATTTTTTGTGTTCATATGAAACCATCAGAATTAAAATGGCACTATTTGTAGTAATTATATCTGACTTTGTTTACAGCATTCCTTTGAATGACTACAAGCTACTTGTGTGTGATATACAACAATTACTAGTAGCAGTCACAATTCATGCCTGCAGTTCCTCAGGTTCTCAGTATTTTCGTGTTATTGAGGACCTCATTGTACTACTGGGACATCTTCAAAATAATAAAAATGAGAAGACACAAAGTAAGTCATAAGCTTTCATTTCCACGGGATTTTAAAATGTAACTGCTAATTTTCTCATAAGAATATCCTCTGTGAAATCTATCACAAAAAGGGCTAATTGTTAGAATTGATGGGGTACCTGGTTGTGTACCTTATTTTCCTGTAAGTGACCCTTGTACAATAGTAACTTAATTACAGTCCTAATCTGTGGCTTATAAATATGTACCAGTAACTGGAGTTCTGCCTGGGCATCTGAGGTAAAAGGCCTAGAATGGAATATTTGGAGTATTATGAAAATAGTGACAATATTCAGAGAGTCTATATAATAGTTATTTCCATTTATAACTTTTAATAAAATTATGAAGATATTAAAATTTGGTGGCTCTTTTTCCCAAAGGGAGGGGAGTCTTTGCTTTGTAACTGATACTGTGACATACATCTATTATTGGGGTGGTTTTGCAATGACTTTCTCAGAAGTACGTAGTTTTGATATATTTTTAAATTTCTTGCCCCTTTTAATTTCCATCAGCGTCTCGAAAAAAAAAGCTTGTCACCTCTTTTTGAAACCAGTGTTGAAATGTGTTTTTCAAAAGTTTTTATAATGTGTGAAATTCTATTATTTTGGTGTTTATAGAAATAGATGTAAAGGATAAAATGAAAATAAGAAGTTTCTGAAATGTTAGCATGTTTGTTTATGTAAACTACCTTGAGGAAAATGTCAAGTGCTCATTGTTGCCTCTCATTTGTAGACATGGCAATTGCTCTGCAATTCAGAGTTCTTCAGGCAGCTATTGAATTAATAAAAGCTACAGCAAACCAAGACTCTCAGGATCTGGCTAACTCTTTACGTTTACCTGCTACCCATCATCACGCAATGTTTCAAAAACGTAAAAGCATTGCTGGTGAGTGATAATTTAATAGTATGTTGTATTAGAGAATTTTATAGCTTCTCCTGCCCTCGTTATGTGTTGGAGCCAGTCATATTTTCCTACCCTGGCATTCAATGAGACAGAGGTTGTAAAAGTGTGTATGTGTGTACTTGTGTTGATGAGTTCCCTGCAACTTTACTTATGGTACTACAGCCCATTTCACCAATCAATGTCCTGCTATGTTTGGAAAACATAAGTCTAGTGCAAATAAGGTGACCAGATGTCCCAATTTTATAGGGACAGTCCTGATTTTTGGGTCTTTTTCTTATGTGGGCTCCTATTATCCCCAACCCCTGTCCCGACTTTTCACATTTGCTGTCTGGTCACCCTAAGTGCAAATCCACCTGTGGAAAAAATGATGATCTAAGTTTTCTATGTTCTATGTAAGGTGAACAGTAGCGTAAATTTTGTACAAATTTTGAATTCAGTAGGTGTGCAGAATAAGTGTTGCTTATACATTGAAAGAAGGGAGTGCAGCAATACTTTCTCCTTCACCTAACACTGCACCATCCCTGAAGACTCCAGAGCCAAATTCAACTTGGATTTGAAATAATGAGTTAACAAACATACATATATAACCCCTCCCCGCACATACACACCTTACATTAAAATAACATTAAGATTACAAAGACGCACATTGAAGTTAGGAAATGGCAGAATTAAGGTTGCCTATATAATTTGTCGTCCTTGCATTCTGATAGTCTTTAATTACATGATCACATGCTACTGTTTTCCACAGGGTTATGTGATCATATAATTAAAGACTGCATCATAATGCATATGCAAAAAGGCAACTTTAATTCTGGCATTTCCTAACTTGAGCATGTGTCTTTGCAATCTTACATTCTTTTTCATACAGTATTTGTATATAACTTCCTAATCTTTAAACAAACCAACCCTGAAAAATAATTGTCATGTAGTATCATATGGACCCCCTCCCCCCCACTTGGGACATGAACAGGGTTCTGATCTTTACATCCACAGTCTACCACTTAAGCTAACAGAGTAACTAATAGAGGCTGAGAACTCACTATTGCTATGTGGTCCAGCTATTAGAGGGGGATGATAAATTAGTGCAGATTTTTAAGTTTCAAGTTCCTGCTCCAAAGCATGTAGGTAGTAGCGCTTCTGAAAGAATGTGTTTTTTTTAACATGAAAAAAACCATGGTTTTCCTTAATCTCATTCTTAAAAACAACTGAACTGTTTTAACTGAAACTTTCACACAAAAAAATCCGCTTGAGGTAGACACCTGGCATGCATAATTTCAATTTGAACCATTAGTTTCATAAGCAAGTAAATGCTGTAATGGAAAGTGTTATGCAACCTTCACTCTAGGTAGCACTACCAGTTCAGACTATAATAGTTTGTGAAACATTTTTGTGAAGTGCTTTTGGATTCTTTGGCTGAAAGGTGCTCTGTGAATCTAGGTCATTATATTCAGCTGCATTTAAGATTTCACTGAAGACTGTTACATACAAAACTGATGTGTGTTCTGTTAATTGTTTAAAACAAAGGTTCAGTTGCAATGAAAGATTCCATTATTCCTCGTCTACCAAAACAACACTTCTGTTCCTACAGTCGACTTCTGATGCCCCCCTCCTTCAGCCTGTTAAATCAGGAGCTGTCCCTCCAGTCCCTTACTGGATCCACTTCATATACGTTCCCTACAGAAGCAGGTGCAGTAGTGGGGTCATGCCTACCAATTCATTGTGCAAAAACATTTCGCAGGAAATGTTTTACAGGATTAGATATGAAATAGATGCATATATCAAAATAACTTCTGATAGATCAATATGAAATGTGTTTACCTTTCAGAGCTGTTAACCTCACTGATCTTAGTTCACATTGCTGAAAACCTACATTCTATAAGCATGTTAGTATAAGAACAATTAACTTTTAAATAACAGCAGTAATGAGGTAACATTATAAAAGTAGGGAAGTGAAACAGTGACTGTTCAGAAGCTGTTTTGTACAGTGAATATTTCTGAGAAATTACATCATTTTGAAAACTCTAAAGAAAATAGATAATGTGCTATAGTTTAAGATGAGTGCTTCATCAAATCTCTAAAGACTTTAATGCTCTGTTATTACATGAATTTTATATACATTTCATTTTCAAGTGGAAAAACTGTCACACATTTCCAAATTTAAACAAGAACCTGGACATTCCTTGTTCCTTTTTAAAGAAATATATTTCAAATATTTTCCCTCATAACCACAACCAATTTTCTTTCCTAGATGAGAGCTATTGGTGCATGCAATTAATTTACAAATGTGATATTTAATCTATTCATGAGGATGCTATTGATCTATTTCTCTATACTTAAAGGTTCCAGGAAATTTTCTCTTGCTCAGTCTGACACACTGGTGATGAAAATGCGTTTAGTAGCAAGTGATGAACTTAACATGATGATGCAGCGGAGAATGAGCCAAGAGAATCCTATTCGAGCCACTGAGAATGAGCTTATACAGAGGTTACAGAGACTCACTGTTCTAGCAGTTAACAGGTTCATTTATCAAGGTAGGAACAGGGGAAAAAAATATACAGTAACTATGCTTATAATGACCTCACCGCACATTAAGTGGTGGGAATTGCTGTGTTGCTTGTTGGAAAAGGAGTGTGCCCTTTTAAGGGCTAGAAAGTCAGGGAGAGGCTTTCTGCTGCACTGCAGACCGTGTCAGTGTGGGGATGCTGACTCTTCCCTCTCCCAGGTGACCAGCAGAGAGGGCAGGGACTATATAGGTCTATGCTGATGCAGGAAAAGCCCTCTTTTACCTGGATCAGGTGGAGCAGTAGCCACCCTCCATCCATGGAAGTGGTGAAATATCGGGTTTTGTCAGGATCCACTGCACTAGTTGCTACTTTCTTGGGGGTTTAGAAAGGAATTTTCCCTTCCCCGCCAGATTGGCCAAGGCAAAGTGGGTTTTTTTTGCCTTCCCCACAGTGGGTGTTTGGGGGGGGGGGGGAGAGGGAGCTTAGTTGGGATGAACATGAAATGGGAGTTAGGCTATGATGTGGCAACTTATTATGTAACATGGAGTGGATGTCCAGTGTAGGTATTCCATAGGGAGGGGACACAGTGATCAAATAAAATGGATTGGTAATGGATTTCAAGGGGCTATCCTTCAAAGGAGTGGAAATGCAGGAAGGGGGATTTTGGGCTCCTATGTCTGGTATGGCGTGAAGCCAATCCATCTCTCCTTTATATCTCCCTCTATTTGAGGGAGGCAGGAATTTTGAGGTCCCAGCAGTGGGTTGGCTGGGGACCAGGATGGTTAAGCAGGAAGATGCTGCCACCAATTTACCTCACATTCCAGGTCTTGACTCCCCCACCTTCTCATAAGTCTTTTGGGGGGCAGAGGATCTCCCCCACTTCAACTCCTGCTGGTTTCAGGGGGTGGGAGGTTGCCAAGCAGGGCCTGTGATGCTTCTTAGGGCACCCATGTCTGTGAGTCACCTTGTTACCAGCTGCCTCCAATTTGAGGAACTCTTGCTTGTGCTAGCAGAGCATTAGCCTCCTAACACAACCAGCCTGTCAGCCACTCAGGCACTGTCTTCTGGACTATACCAGCCCTGTTTTTTGCCTTGCTGGATGACAACAAATGTACCCCAGCCCTGAGTCCCTTCTGTGGTATCCAGCTCCTGATCACTGGATACCCACAAATCTCAGATCCTCTGTACCCAAAGGAACAGTGTAACACAGTTCACCAGTTTTATCTTAGACCACTGCTCTTGTATTACACATAGCACTTGAATTCAATTATAAAACAAAAGAAAATTTATTAAAGAGGGAAATAGAGATTCAGATAAGAAATAGCGTGAGAGATGTTAACAAATGGTAATATCTAAACCAAAGTTGTAACAAGCATTCTAAACCTTAAATTTAACTAATTCCTGTCCTGAGAAGTTTCTCACCCAGTGTTGTCTCCAGTGTTTTCAACCAAGCCTGGTTGAGATCCCTTTTTCATGAAGCAAACTTGCTGTCAATTTAATTCCTTGGTGAAGGATGCCTGTCTCTTTGTACCACGAATATACCAGAACAGACCTTTGTTGTTCACGTCAAGATATGGTCCCCCTCTTGCCGTTTGCCTCTTCCTGTTAGTTTTGTTCTGAAGTCTCTGCCAGCTTTTCATTAGATTTCTAAGCCAAATGCTAATGGACTCCTATTGTATGACTTGCAATACGCCAAGTGTCCTGTCCCCAGTTTAAGGAAACTTTTATATGCAACAGAAATCTAGTGTATGTGGGTTCAGTGTCCATATTGCTTGTCAGAACCGTTCCATTTACTAAAGTTAGTCAGTCACCTTTGTTTGCCCCATTTCTGTGAATTTGTTTAATTTTTAACGAGAATCATGTTCTTTAGGGGCCACTTTTGCTGTTTATGGGACTTGAAATGTATGGAAGTTCTGCATGTGAAATAGTTGCAGAATGGAGTCTTTAAATGATTAACTCTAATTTTTAATTTGGTTTAACCAGTGTCTAGATTAACTGTTTATATATTCACAGTGTAGTACAGTGGATATTTGACTAGTACTGCTTACAGTAGACTAGGATTAAGTTGGCATGGTCTGAGATGCCATTGATCTGTTTATGCTTCTTAACATTTAAGAACCTACTGAAGATTGTTTTGATGTATTGGGTACACCAGAGACCACAATTCAATGCAGACTTTCAACATCCCAGCTGGAAGCCTCTGAAGAGGAGGACCAACGAGAACTGCCTAATAATACAAATTCTTTTCTGAAAGAAATGTTCAAAATGATGGTTGAAGGAATCAAAGTATCTATTGTAAGTAACTAGACAGTATATCTGTATTACATCGTATTGCTTAAGGAGCCCCCACTGGGGCAAATGCTGTGTCTCTGTAGGACTGTTCCTATTCATAAATTTTCAGTTTTTGTTGCATCTCAAGATGTATCTCAGGTATTATAACACAAATGCAATTTGTCACTTGGCCACTGCATAAAAGAAAGTATCCTGATATTGGATAAGTTTTGACCTTTACGTAAATTGGTGCTCATTTAAAAAAAACAAGACAAAACAAAAAATTTTTTGAAGGGGGGAAAAAACGTTTTAGAATCAGTTGTGGGCGGTGGGGGGGGAGGTGTCTGTCAGTACTTCTGAGGCCTGTCATAGCTGAACTCCCATCCTTCAGATTTCAGCAAGGCCATAGAAGATGTGCAGTAAGGGGAGTTCCAAGATACGGAGATAATCATTGTTTTTGGGGTGAGAGTAGCTTTTGTCCACGTGGAAAACTTGAAGCATTTAGTTTTATATCTAAAAAGAAATTATAGCTATTTGCCCCCCCCCCCCCCCCCAAAAAAAAAGGACATGGCCAAAAACTGTTTCCCTGAATGCTGCTGTTGGTTCACTGTACTCCTATGTTCCCAAGGTGAGCTTGCAATGGATTTTATAAAAATTTGACTTGTCATTTTCTGTTCCTTTATGACTTAAGGAACACGTGAAAGGGATTAACTCTTTTAACCTTTGGAACTATCAGGAACGCCGCATCTGGTCTTCCCAGACCTTTTTGCTTGAGTATCGTTCGGAGGTCCCAGGAATGTTTATTGTGAGCTCTAGATATCAAACTGTCAACTAAAGTGTTAATCTTTAGCAAAGGCTTCCTTCATGAAAAATTGCAACTAGTGATTGATTATAATTAGTGATTAAAGTTAACAAAAATGAGGGTTTTTTTTAAACAATTTGATTAAAAATCCTGTCCCTCAGAGTTGGTCAACTTTCACTCTTGGCTGTTGTGACAACATTGTTTTGTTAGTTCAACATCCTAGTCTTCCAGCCTAAACCAGAACTGAATTTCTAATATCTGAAAAAACAGAAAAATAAAAAACACCTTCGTCATCTTTATATATTAACCCTTTTTTCCCTTTGTAAGGTCATCTTTAAACCTCTGTCCCAGTAAATAATTATTTGTAAATGTGCTTCCTCAATAAGATTTTTCTACCAGATTTACTCTATCCTTTCCTGTTCCAGTTTTCTTTGCAAGCTTATGTTGTATGCTCTATGCAAAGTTCTGATCAGAGAAACCCGGTTTACTGGGATGGGAAAACAAACCTCTTCTTGCTTTAGGCTACAAGCAGAATCAGCACTCCTAGGCAACAGTGGAGGAGAATCCTCTGGTCCTGTAAGGATACATTCCGTATGCAGCTTGGAAGACTCCTAGTGCATATTTTGTCTCCAGCACAACCATTGCAAGAAAGAAAAAAAGCTTTGGAGATAGTATGTGAAACAAACCACCAGGAGATTATGCGAGATTGTCTCAGCCTACCTCTGCAAGTAAGCACTGCTATATTTTTAAGCATAAAAACTTTGAAGTCCTTGCACATAAACGTCCTGGTTTAAATTTTAAAAATATTTGCAGGAGTGTTTTTCCAGTGGATGCACATAAAAAATTAGTTTGTTTTAGAGATTGTCAAGTCTCACTTCTAGCCCCGCTGGAATTCAATATAGCAGGACATAGTTCAATCATTTTTACATGTACAAGCTGTTACTGGCCCAACATGAACATTGTCCTTCCTGAGCCTTTGGCATAATCAGTGTGGAAAATTTCACATTTGGTGGGGGGGAAGACAAGGAAACCTTTTTCCTGCAAGGTTGATCTTTGTTGTGTTTATTTAATGGCAGATATCTGAAAGTGCTGGGGGAATTCATAAGATTAAAATAAATACTGTTTAGATGCATTAGTGTGTAGGTGATGCACTTGTAACTATGTGATGAATTTACTTAGCATATGCCTTTCCGGTTTCAGATACAAGATGGGCATGTGCACTTGCATGTGTCCTTCGTGCTGCAGGAGGCACAATGGAATAATTTCAGGCATGTTTGCCTTATAGATAGTGAGAGAGGAACATTTTATATTTTGTTTTCTGCAGAGGGATGTTTGAATGTGTAATGCAGCAGACAAGGGTGCTACAGGTAGATTGTGTGCGTGGGAGATTGGTGGCTAGTAACCCATACTGAGAAAGTGGATTGGACTCAGTAAGGAGGTCTCCAGCCTATGAAGGTAGATGCAGGTAGTGATGCAGTTAGGCTGGTCTGGAACTTTAGTTGCAAATGTCCTGGATTTTAGCATTCCATCTTTACTCATTAAAATATATTTTAATTTTTTTAATCAACTGTCAATTGTATTGTAAACTTAAATTCTTGTCTGAGAATTTCTGAAATTTTTAAGTGGGATTGGGTAATCTGTTTTATGCTCCTTGTAACTCAAAAATGGAGGAACAGATATAGATATCTATATATATCTATATATTTTTGTAATATTAGAGAGCACTGCATTTCAGTATTCCTCAAAAGTGACACATTCCTTCAGCTGTACTGGCACTGTTTATACGTTCTGTGAAGCAACAACTATATATCTGAGTTACAAGCTTGAAATTTATGTGAGCGAAGCCCTGTTTGAGGCCTCATGGAGACTTATAGGGTGCTTTATAGTAAAAGTCTTTGTTCTAGGCTCTGAGCCTCAGATTTCTTCTTACTAGCATACAGCAGAGAAGAAAACAGAAAGTAAGTAGTTAATGCCCCTAAATCACATGTATTTCAGATCATATGTGGGTTTCTCACTGGGCTATAAAATCCCTGGAAGGTCTAAAGAAGCAGTGGGAAGAGAGCAAATTCAGCAGCAATGTTTTTTTGTTGGGGCACCATGTTGAATGTATTTCCTGCTTTCAACTACTACTTTTAACTTCCGAGCTTTCTCTCAATAATTACTTTGGTCAAAGTTAGAGGGCTGAGGTGCAGGTTTTTCTGCCCTGGATTTTATATGAATGTGTCTGTTCTTTCAAAGAGAAGCTTTTCCTTCATCTAATTTGGGATTTTGTAGATAAGGAGAGAAAAAATCCAAAATAGCTCAAGGATCACGAGCATTAGTAGAGAAAACTTGTCCTAGTGTACCTGAAAAGATAACCGATAAAAATATATACATTTATATAGCAAGTTCTTTGTGTTCTACTGGCAAAATGAGAATAACTATACTTTTTTTTTTATTCATCTTCTAGCATGGACCTAAATTAGCCCTCTATCTCTATGAGCTAATGCATGATCACAAGGATGAATTGACCAAAGAAGAACAAGTATCATCAGGAGTATTTATGAATGCATTAAAATTTTGTGGCTATAAATGCATTTCTCCCAGTGCTCCACCAAAACCAGACCTCCTTAATGCCATGAAAGAGGTATGTGAATATTAATAAGCATTTCCTAGTGAACCAGAATTCATTATTTGACCTCATTATTTGCAATTAATGCTATACTCCTTGAATATGCAGTGTACAGTAACTACTTCACAAAGATGATCACAGTTTCTATTAGGCTTGGCAAGCTGGTTGGTTGACCTCCTATTTGACCATGGTCAAACAGTGCAGAACGAAGGCCTTGATGCAGGTGGCAGCCTACCTTTTTGATTGCATCATGGTGCCATCTGTTAGCAAGCTTATTTAGATACCTTGATCACTCACTTTACTACATGCTAATGCAACCTGTTGGGGGGAAAAGCTAAGATAATTGAAATCTGAGCATCTTGATTGACTGGAACTTTCTAGTACATATATGTGTATACCAGGCCATCAGTATAAATGTTGATTTACAAAGCATATTAAACAAGTTAAAAGACATGATCCCTGCCTCAAAGAGCTTACAATCTAAACTCACTAGACAAATATACAGAAACTAACTCAAAGGAAGTGCGGGGGAGATAGGAAGGTTCAATGTTTAAACCTCCTCCCCCACAGAGAGAGAAGATGAGTTTCCTTTGTTCTTTTTGTAACTGTTCAGTCTTGAATAATGGTCACATTTAGATGAATGTTAACGTAACATTGCTAAAAAACTATCATTATTCTTTCATTTTTCAGAACTTCATTGTGCTTTGCAATTTTGAGTTAAAGTAACTCAGTTAAGTAACTGGGTTTTTTTTGTAATTAGGCATAAATATCTAAGTCTAAATCTTCGACCATAAACACACTTTTTATATTACTGTTCTACTAAATGAGTGCTTTGAAATATTTGACCATTTTTGACATTGATAACATTTGACCTATGTTTGACAGGTCAATTTGACCAATTATTTTATTGGTCAAATTCCCAACTCTGCTTTTATATTCAGATTATTTATCAATCAATAAATATAAATAGGTGTTTAAGAATCTAACAGGTCAGTAGGTAGTTATGATTATAAGCAACCTATAACACTTTCTAAAAAAGTTTCAGTAATCAGTTTCTATTTAATTTATTTTAGTTCAAAAATAATCAATAACCATCTTTTCTAGTCAAATAAGAGATATCATGGAAAAATCAAGTAACAAAATGGTTAAATATGGAACCTAAGAACACTGAACTGGGTTTCCAACCATCCAAGTGATTGATTATACCAGAGGATATTTTACATTTTTGTGAAAAATCAACGAACTGTGATAACTAAAGTGAAAATGCTGTGAACACATCAGCATGTTCCTTTTCCTTTTTAGAAAAGACTATTCATAACTACATTTCTCTTTAATATAAACATGTTTAAATAAAATTAGCTGTCCTTTTCAGTTTCAACAAATGATTGTTAGTGCTATTGTAATAGCTTTCTTCTCAGAAATATCATTAAGGACAAGTGGCTCGATTCCCAAAGGGACTTAAGTGCCTAACTGCCACTTTCCCAAAATAATTTTTAAAAAATCACTGGAGCAGGGGGACTGGATCCTGGGTATCCCATCTTCCTGGTGTGTACTTTAACCACCAGCTACAGAGTTAGTCTCATGCTTCCTCGCTCTCTCCAGCTCAAAGATTTTTAATAAATATTTATCCACAGTGGAACAGCTTCAACAGGTGAGACAGAGGGAGCCCCACATTAGAATATCCCATAGTTCAGTGGTTAGGGCAATGACCTGAGAAGTGGCAGTCCCTGTTCAAATACCTTCTCCCCCTGAAGCAGAAGGGAGGAATTGAACCAGGGTTCTCCCATATCCCAGATAAGTACTCTAAGCACTGGGCTAAAAGTTATGAGGGAGGTCCTTCCCCATCTCCCTCCCCCCCCCCCCCCAACCACACACACATTCCCCTTAGCTTCTTGCAAAAATGGTATAGGTTCCTAACCCCAAGAGAGGATTTGCATCTGAGAATCCTAAGCAGAGAGAGGGACCACCTTTCTAGCCAGGACTTAAATGCCAAACTCCCTGTCAGGTGAGGCTTAGCGCACACCCCTCCCCTCAGCATCTCCCATTGGCTAGCTTAGGGAGCTGCCTAGCATGCTGGCTCTTCTGTGATTCCCATTCTGAGACACCATTTCCCTCAATTCATTGTATAGGGAGTCTAGGCACCAAACTCAGGCTTTGTGAATTTCATTGATTTTTCTAGGCATTTAAAAGTAAGGCGTGGGGACTTTTGGTGTTGCCACACTTAAGTTTCTCTGTGAATCTAGCCCCAGCTGCGTTGTGGCAAATTAGAACATTTGGAGATGTTAATTTTTTTTAACAATATAGAGACAAATCCTATTCTCACTGGAGTCATTTCTAATTTTGCTATTGACTTCAGGATGGGTCAGGTTCCTCTTGAGTATGTTTACTTAATGACTGGAGTACATTAGGTCCCTCCTGTCTCTAACACACAAGCTTTTGAATAGTTGCTATGAATGTACACTATATGTCCTAATATGTTACTTAGACAATATGATGTTCTGAGTTGGGAACAGGCCATATGTGAATTAAAAACAACTTTTGCTACTTAGAAGAATGGAACCAATTGATACAAATTGTTGTAAATCATTTATGTTTTTGACTATAAACTCCTTTCCTTGTTTAAATGATAGTGTTACTGGATTGAAGGTCTGATGCTATAAGATCCTTTAAGTGAGAAGAGATGATTTCACCGAGTGAGCAGACTTGGATTCTGTTGATGTCTTTGGGAGCATTGATTTGTGTCTCAGTTGTAACTTTAAAAATAGTTCCGGATGTGGAACTTGCAGGTGAAAAACAAAGCATAAATTTTAACTTGCTTAGTTAAACTGGAATTAATTTTTTTTTTAAATTTCAGGATCGAAAGAAGTTTGAGGCAGAAGAATGTGCGAACAAAGCTGTTTGGGAGAAGACCATGACTAATAATCAGCAAAAGTAAGTAAAAGATCTATGGAAGAGTATTCTTTAGCATAGCCTGTTGCAAAATGCCACGGGTACTTTATATAAAAAATCTTTTAAAATCAATATCCATGCCTGTTTCAACATTTATTATGCTGTAATTAAGACAGCTTGATTGTAGGTAAGTGACATTCTCTGATTGCCTTCACTAATAACCAATGACATTATTTAAATGTCAGAACATTTAATCTTTTATTTGGCATAGATCTTTAAAAAAAAAAATTCTTTCCAATGAAAGGCTAGCTACTGTATCCATCAGGATGTTTCTCCCATTGCATGTGAACCATGCAATTAAATGTGTGGCACATGTCATTGCAACCAGCTGGTTAGAACACAAAACCACTTTCTTCTTCAAATGCTGGTTCCTGTGTAAATTCCACATGTGGGGTACGCATGCACCTGAGTCCAGAGATTTTAAGAAGTAGCGTCCATTGGCCTGCACATCTCCTTGTGCTCCCAAGCAAGGCTATAAGAAGCACTGAGAGTCAACACCCTCTCAGTTCCTTCTTACTGCTGTATGGTCTGAGTTGGAATTCAGTGTCCTCTTTTGCTTCAGCCTTTCAGAAAATCAGTAACTAAGATTGTAAATAGTTATTCTTTAGCTTATTCAGTTCTCCAAACCGGGGACTCCCTTCACATGGTCTGTGACTATGCCTAGGCTCCTGGGCTTGAAAAACTGCATCTCTTGCCCCAGATCCTTCTCAGTCAGCAACAAACACCAACACTGCCAACTGTGTGGGTGTCTCTCACATTTTGGTGAGATACAGCATTTTTTGCTTGTTTCCACAGAGGATTCCCCAAGCTTGTGAGCTTAACCTTACAAAACACTTAATGGACAAGACTATGAAGGCCCTTCCAATCTGGACCAGAAAGACCGCCCACTCCATATATAGGCCTCACCAAATGAGCAGTGCCCCTCCAAGCACATGCTTAGGAGTGGAGCTCTAAGTGTTTAAGTCCAAAGATTTTTCCTCTAGGGCTTCCCATGAGAATAAGGGGCATTCTCATGGGCTCAAGGACCGATCCCCAGCAAGGACTGTCCATAAGAGACAAGCTCCTTCCCGGAGCCCATCGAGGTCAGATGAGCCCTTATGCACACACCCTAAGGAACTGGCTCCACACAAAAAAACACAGGATGGAGGGTAAAGTGCATAGAAAGGAGGATATATTGGTTCTGTCGGTGATATTCAGTACCAGAGCACTAGGACAGTCATCCGCTGGTCTCTTCCACAAGGGCATCTCCAGACTCTGCGGTACTGACTCATCTACCCAAGGAATGCACTGGTACTCTGGATGCCAACCAGGGCACACAGCGACCTATATGGCACCAGAGGATATCTTTCTCCCTTACCCTCAGCCTCCACTGTTCTCTGGCTCAGCCCTCCTGAGGGACATTACTACACCAGTAGACTATATTACTTCAGTGTCCCAGGAACTGTCGTACTTACAACCATCCGATGGAATTGCACCAGTACTGATAGCTCCACTGTTATAATAGGAGAATTTTCAGATTTGGATGAATCCAATGAACTGGTCCCTCCTTCGTCTCCACAAAGAGAACCAAGCCCGGGCAGGCATTCCAGGATTTACGGACACTATCCTTATGAACATGTCCTCCCTGGAGACTGATGGTTTCCCATGCCATGGGATACCCCTCAAACCGTTGGTCCTGCTTCCTAACCCTATCAGGAAACATGGGATCCCTATACCAGATACCCGGGAACCATCCAGTAGTCTTTCCACTCCTCTCCCTTGCACCAGTGATTAGTTTTGTTGGTGTATGAGGAGGAAGATGTTGAACCAGAACCTCAGGTACTGAAGGGAATCTCCTGTTCTTCCCTGGATGAGGTGGTCTCTCCTGCCACATCCCCACTAGACGATCATAGACAATACCAGGATGTACTATGAAGAGTGGCTAGCGATCTCCAGTTATCTCTGGAGGAAGTCCAAGACCCACAACACCAACTGTTGGATGTTATGCAGCTTCAGGGCCCAAGTATGGTGTCTCTCCCAGTTAACGAGGCCATTTTGGAACCAGTGAGATTGGTCTGGTCTGGTACACCACAGAGACTTGCGCCCCCACACCTAAAAGGGCTGAGAAGTGCTATTTAGTTCTGTAAAGAGAGCTAAATTCCTGTTCTCCTACTCTGCTCCCAAATCCCTGGTTGTACAGACTGCGATGGAACATAATAGGTCTCCGTACCTAAGGACCACCCCATCAGATTGGATTTCCTGGGCTAAAAGGTCTTCTCATCTGGGGGCCTGCCATTTTGCATTGCCAATTACCAGGTCCTGCTAACTAAGTCTGACTTTAGTAAGTACTCTAGGCTTGTGGCCTTTCAGAACAACTTTCCTCTGAGGACAGAGCCCAGTTCCTCTCTTTTCTAGAGGAGGACAAGTTGGTGATGAAAATGGCATCTCGATCATTCTATATTATCTGGATTTACCTAGACATCTGATCTGGCAATCTGGCAAAAAGCTCATTACAAGTTCATCTGGCAGCCATTAGTGCCTTTCTCCACCAAGTAAATGGGTGTTCTCTTTACCCTCTGACATGGTTCATGAAAGCCTCATCAAGGCCTTTTCTCCAGTCACTAAACCGACATTATGGTGGGAGCTCAACCTTGTGCTGTCAAAGCTTACTAGACCTCAGTTTGTACCCTTAAGTGGGACATGGAATGTGTCGCTATCCACCGTGTTTCTAGTGGCTATCGCTTCGGGCAGGAGGGTTAGCACACTGGCAGCCCTCATGGTGGACATGCCCCCCCTTATGGTATTTCACAAGGTATTTCCTTGCCTTCACCCTAAATTTTTACCCAAGGTAGTCTCCAGATTCCACCGTAAGCAGTATATTCACTATCTATTCTTTTTTCGAAACTCTGTGCTTCTCCTGAAGAGAAGAGACTTCAGTTCCTTGACATAAGGCATGCACTGGCCTCTTACCTGCAAAGAACAGAGTTCATCAGAAAGTCTCCAAGACTCTTCATCGTGATAACACGCCGATTCCATGGTCAGGCTATATCTTTTCAGATTTCTCAGCGGGTTTCTGGCTGCATGATTGAATGCTACAGATTAACTTGTATTCCACCTCCGGGCAGTATAAGGACCCACTCCATGAGAGCTCAGGCCACCACAGGAGGTCCCAATGAAGGACATATGCAGAAGCAGCTACCTTGAGCTCCATACACATGTTTGCTAGACATTTATGCACTAGTCCAAGCCTCTGCTGCAGATGCAGCAGTGGATCTGCAGTGCTGCAAGCATCTTTGTTGGCCGACTTCCTTGCACCCACCGCCACTCTGATAACTTCTTTGTCAAACTCCCATTTGTGGAATATTCATAGGAACCAGCACTTGAAGTGGAGGTTACTTACTGTAACTGGAGGCTCTTCGAGATGTGTATTCCCTACGTGTATTCCACTACTCAACCTCCATCCCCTCTGCTGTGTATCTGATTAGATTTGCAATAAGAAGAGGAGCTGAGAGGGTGTCGACTTGCACTTCTTATACTCTCACTTGGGAGCATGAGATCTGCTGCGCGTGTGTGGGCCAATGGACACTGCTTGTTAAAATCTTCAGACTCAAGCGCATGGTGCACATGCGTACCCAATGTGTAGAATATAGATAGGGATCACACCTCTTGAAGAACCTCCAGCTACAATAAGTAACCTCCATATATTTGCCTTCGCATTTGCATTTTTGAGCTTTGCAAACTCTTGTTTCTTGATACAATTTAATCTTATTTGTGATGGATTATTCAGATCTTTCCACTATTCTTCATAATATAGTTTAGTTGCTATCTCTTTCACTTTTTCTTTCCCTTTGAAAATACACATGTGGAATCTCCATCACTGAAGATTTTTGAGAGCTTATTAGACAAATACCTGTCAGGGATGGCCTAGATGATACTTAGTCCTGCCATGAGTGCAGGAGGACTAGACTAGATGACCTCTTGAGGTCCCTTGCAGTCCTATGATTCTAAGGCAGCGGTTCTCAAACTGTGGGTCAGGACCTGTTTTAATGGGGTTGCCAGGGCTGACATTAGACTTGCTGGGGCCAAACCTGAAGCCTTTGGCTTTGGCCCCCACACGGGATACGGGAGGGCTTGGGTGCACTCAGGCTTGGTTTCCCCCTCCTCTGCCGCCTCCTCCTCTCCCCGCTGCTGGGGTCATGTAATAATTTTTGTTGTCAGAGGGGGTCGTGGTGCAATGAAGTTTGAGAGCCCGTTCTAAGGTATTCAGTACACGGTCTTCACTCAGTACTAAGTATAAAATGCCTAATGTATAATCTTGTTCATATTACTTTTTTCCCAGTCTCTCTCAGCGTCTGGATGCAAAGTCAAAAGATATTTCCAAAATAGCTGCAGACATCACCCAGGCAGTCTCTTTGTCACAGGGAATGGAAAGAAAGAAGGTGATTCAGCACATTAGAGGAATGTATAAAACAGATTTAAGTGCCAGCAGGCATTGGCAGGAACTTGTTCAGCAACTTACACACGATAGGTAAGTGGTGGCCATTTTAGATCTGTATTACTGGACTTAAATGTGGCCATTCTGTACACTTGTGATTTTTAATGTTATAAGCAATTGAAATGTATATGCTTTTTTTAAAACAAAATTAGATTAATGTGACTTGTACTTGCTAATGCTGCAGCTTCTAAGCTCTTGTGAGATGCTAAATATTAGGACTGTCAAGCGACTAAAAAAAATTGTGATTAATCGCACTGTTAATAATAGAATACTATTTATATAAATTTTTTGGATGTTTTCCACATTTTCAAATATATTGATTTCAATTACAACACAGGATACAAAGTGTACAGTGCTCAATTTATATTTATTTTTATTATAAATATTTGCACTGTAAGAATAAAAGAAATAGTATTTTTCAGTTCACTTAATACAAGTATTGTAGTGCAATCTCTTTATCATGAAAGTTGAACTTACAAATGTAGAATTATGTACAAAAAATAACTGCACTCAAAAATAAAACGTAAAACTTTAGAGCCTACAAGACCACTCAGTCCTACTTCTTGTTCAGCCAATCACTCAGAGAAACAAGTTTGTTTATATTTGCAGGAGATAATGCTGCCCGCTTCTTATTTACGTTGTCACTTGAAAGTAAAAATAGGCGTTCACATGGCACTGTTGTAGCCAGCATTGCAAGATATTTGCGTGCCAGATGCACTGAAGATTAGTGTGTCCCTTCATGCTTCAGCCACCATTCCAGAGGATATGTGTCCATGCTGATGCTGGGTTCTGCTCGATAACAATCCAAAGCAGTGCAGACTGATGCATGTTCATTTTCATCATCTGAGTCAGATGCCACCAGCAGAAGGTTGATTTTCTCTTTTGGAGGTTCAGGTTCTGTAGTTTCCGCATCGGAGTGTTGCTGTTTTAGGACTTCTGAAAGCATGCTCCAGACCCCGTTCCAATGAGATTTTGGAAGCCACTTCAGATTCTTAAATCTTGGGTTGAGTGCTGTAGCTATCTTTAGAAATCACACATTGGTACCTTCTTTGGGATTTGTTACATCTGCCGTGAAAGTGTTCTTAAAATGAACGACATGTGCTGGGTCATCATCTGAGACTGCTATAACATGAAATATATGGCAGAATGCGAGTAAAACCATGGAGCAGGAGACCTACAATTCTCTACCAAGGTGTTCAGTCACAAATTTAATTAACGCATTATTCTTTTAATGAGCGTCGGCATGGAAGCATGTCCTCTGGAATGGTGGCATATGAATGTTTAGCATATCTGGCACGTAAATACCTCGCAATGCTGGCTACAAAAGTGCCATGCAAACACCTGTTCTCACTTTCAGGTGACCTTGTAAATAAGAAGCGGGCAGCATTATCTCCCAGAAATATAAACAAACTTGTTTCTCTTAGCGATAGGCTGAACAAGAAGTAGGACTGAGTGGACTTGCAGGTTCTAAAGTTTTACTTTGTTTTGTTTTTGACTGCAGTTACGTAACAAAAAAAATCTACATTTGTAAGTTGCGCTTTCATGATAAAGAGATTGCACTACGGTACTTGTCTGAGATGAATTGAAAAATACTATTTCTTTTGTTTGCCATTTTTACAGTGCAGATATTTGTAATAAAAATAATATAAAGTGAGTACTGTATACTTCTTTGTATTCTGTGTTGTTGGTCAATATATTTGAAAATGTAGAAAAAAATCCAAAATATTTGATAAACAATAGAATTCCAATTGAAATTTAACAGCGCAATTAAAACTGCGATTAATCACGATTAATTTTTTAATCGTGATTAATTTTTTTTGAGATAACTGCGATTAATCGACGGCCCTACTAAATATATTTCCCTGTATATAAGTGGACAATCGAATGGACATTTTTTAGATCTTGAAATATCTATAGATTGGCCCTCTATCAAATATAATCAGTTTACGTAATGGGCAAAGGACAAGGAACAACATAAAATTATACTACATTGGAAAGGTACAGTAGTAAAAGTGAAGGGCTAATACAAAGATCTGGTTTGAGTGTTTTGCATAAACTGTATCTTCCAGCCAGTGTTTTTGCAAATGCATTAAGCCAATTCAAGAAATCTTGACTGGCAACAAAAATGCTGTATCTTGTTACTGCAGAAACAAAAGCGTACAAGATCTTTTAAAAAGGAAAGGATCCAAACAAAGTGCAGTTTCAAACTTAAGAGTGTCCACCATGATGGTACTTCCTATTTTTGGACAAGCTGTTTTAGATCAGAGTGTAGCAGTTTAATTTACTAAGCACCACATTATGCAACAGTACTGTTACTTATTCCCTAGATAACTTTCAAGCAGTTTGCTGACCAATCCAGCAGTACTTACTCATGAATAGTTCTATTAAAATCCATGGAACAGCCCATGAGACTAAGGGACAGCATGATCCAGTCTTCTATTTTATAGCAACATGAGTTGGACAGTGTTTCACTGTGAAATTCATGCCTGTTTGTAATGGTTACGTATTTACCAATTTTTAAAAAAATTAATTAGAATAAATGAGATCTATATAGATATAATGTTGTCATGTTGTTCTAAAATGCTAAAATACTTTCATTTTCAGAACACTCTGGTATGATCCTGTCTGCTACCCAACATCTTGGCAACTAGATCCAACAGAAGGCCCAAACCGAGAGAGGCGCCGTTTGCAGAGGTGCTATTTAACTATACCAAATAAGTACCTGCTCCGAGATAGGCAGAAACACGAAGGTAATAACACTTTTTTAAGATTATAACTAAATTTTCACAAAAGCTAGAGTGTTAATATTTTAATCGATTTTTTTCTTTTACACTTTTCAATAGAAGTGATCAAACCCCCTTTGTCTTACCTATTTGAAGATAAAACACATTCCTCTCACTCTTCCACTGTAAAAGACAAAGCAGCAAGTGAGAATATAAGGTAAGCTTTAAATTCGGGGAAAAAATCTTACTCAAAGGAAACTTTTTTATTTTTTGCCTTTGTTCATGAGGGGTGACCATGAGATGAACAATAGGGATAAGATCATACAATGTTTTCCAACAAAGAAATATTTTTATTTAAGAAGACTTAACTTGCTTCACTTGTTTGTCATAAATTAAAAACCGCAAATATAGTAGAGTGGGTGACTTGAGAGATGGTAGTGGGTTTACAGAGCTTTTCACTTCTAGGTTGCTGATTTTAAAGCCTAACAATTAGTAGAAAGTCATTACCGTCTGGGTGGTATTGGGCCTATGATCAATGCCTTTGTTGTAGTTCATTTCCAAATATCAGCATTGCAATTGAAATTTATTCGTGCTTTCAGCAGAGGCCCAGAAGTGAATGGATGTGGAGATTGAATTATATTCTCATCCCTTCATTGACTAGCTGAGTAAATCTGCACTTTCACTGCCTATACTATATGTATTCAATGGATAACTAGGTTTTAACTTTGCAGTGCTGGCAATCCAGCACCTTTCACAAGCACCAAATTAGCTTAACATAAAAAAGCTGTTGCATGCGGAAAGCAACAAATCCTAAATTTGTAGAAGTGAATATATATTAAAAAATTTGAGCTTGGTATTTCTCTCATAGTTTGAACATTCAGCTGTTTTATTCAGCTGCTCACAATTCTTAAAGAGCTGAGAGCTAGTTTTACACGTTCCTTTGGGATTTGAACACTTGGGGTCACAGAAAAAAGGAAAAGTCTACTTGGTTATAGTGTATAGTATTTGAGGCTGTTAATTTTAGATATCTACTGAATTTTATGACTTGTTGTAAATGTTTCTATTTGTATATATGCAGAGTGAATCGAAGATGCATCAATGTAGCACCTTCTAGAGAGACAGCTGGTGAATTGCTGTTAGGTAAGCATAACAGTTTGAATGACTAAATATTAAAAATGTTCTTGTAAAAAGGTTAGTTTAGTTTAAAGAGCAGATTTAATCCTTCTGTAATAGTTACAGAAACCTTATTATAGAATCGTAGGACTGGAAGGGACCTCGAGAGGTCATCTAATCCAGTCCCCTGCACCCATAGCAGGACTAAGTACTGTATTATCTAGTATAGATCTAATTCTATTCATGTAAATGTCAGTTTTGTCTGGAGTGGCTCACGACTATGAGTGCCTGTCTCAGGGCAGACTGTCAAAAAAACAGGGCAGATACCACCATTCTGGAGTATGGTCTATAATTAGATTTTACCAACACAGTAACAAATGTGAACTCTTGGATCACTTATAACAGTCTCCCCATGGATTCATGGACAATCCCCTGAGACTTTCCAGACTGTTTTGCCATCCACATAGACTGGATTTAGTGATAAATGGTCACTTACATTAAAAATCACATCATAATAATGTTGCTCCCAGTTCCAAGAGACCAGTCACTTACCCCAGATCAATTGATACTCTAGAGCTTACACCAAAGACAGCCCCTGCAGCCAATCCTGTAATAAACTATTTACAGGTTTATTAATTAGGAAAAACGCAAGAGAATTATTTACAGGTTAAAGCAAGCAAATGTATATACACAAATGAGTTGCATCTAAATCCGAAGAGTGACAGAGTTGTAGAGATCTGTCAATTCAGTGTGTCTTTCTGGGTAGACCCAGGATCTCTGGCTTCAGTTTGGTTTCTCTAGCCCTGTGAGTTCAGCAAAGAGATGAAAAAAAGAGTTGATGTGAAGATTTTTCATTTACCTCTTCCAGCATTCAAAGCTACAGGCCTTCTGCACCTACTTCACCATGGGTAGATGGGACAATTAACGCAGCTTTTGTCTTATAATGGCCCCATTTAAATTTTGATGGTCCTCCTGAATGGTTTCAGAGTAGCAGCCCTGTTAGTCTGTATCCGCAAAAAGAACAGGAGTACTTGTGGCACCTTAGAGACTAACAAATTTATTAGAGCATAAGCTTGCGTGGACTATAGCCCACTTCTTCGGATGCATATAGAGTGGAATAAATATTAATTAATAAATTAATTGGCCTCTCAGAGTTGGTAAGACAACTCCCACCTGTTCATGCTCTCTGTATGTGTGTGTATATATATCTC